CCAGAATAAAATGAAACAAAAATTATGCAGGGCAGAAGGAAAAGTGTCGAAAAAGGGTTGAAGGTACACAAAGAAAATCAATTATATAGCGACAATTTATTTATAAAAATAACATATTTTAATGAGTGTTTTACAATTTTTATTAAATAAATTAATATATAAGATAATATTATTTTAAGTTACAATCTTCCATGTTATTTTTAATCAGGAATCCTTTTTCTTATTATTATTATTTAGTTATTTAAAGTCTTTTATTTCTGTTCAATCCTTCATATTTAAAAACCAACTACAAAAACCAATTACAAAAATAAGTTAAATTGTAAATATTTTCCTTAATTTTTTAATGTAATGTGTGTAAAAATCTGTAACTAGAAGTTAAAGTTTTAAAATTACAAAAAATAAAAACCCCACTATTTTCTCTCTGTGTACCAGCCGCAGCATCTTCGCTATCAGAAATTGACTTTTAATGAAAACAATTGAAAATTCTCGGTGTCTGTGTGCCGGGTCCCAAAATGTTGTTCCATGCGAAAGCCACGGGGATCTCTCCTTGTCTCAACAGCCGACTGCTCGACTGCTCAACTGGCCAACTGGCCAGAACTGGCTGCGGTTATTAATTTCAATTAAAGCATTTAACCGGAGAGCCGAGTCCGCCGCCCTTTGTTTACCCAACCAGCCCCGCCCCCTGGCCAACATTAATTAAGGCGAGAAAATGCCGGGTTTTCAGGCGTTTCTGGGGATCCAGGGGCTCCTGGGGAATTTCCAAGCCATACGTGCCGTGTTGTTCAACGGACTAATAAAGTTGATTCGAGCGAGATTTTCAGGACCATCAAGCAATGCCCAAAGGAGCCGAGGATCTGGATCTGCCAGCTTCCTGATAATATCGTATTTCACGAAATCATCAAATTAGCCAGTCAAGAGCAGAGACTGCAGTGCCACCAGCATTTAAAGTCCGCCAAACGGACGGGCGAATAAACAAACAGATGCAAGGGAGGTGCAGGGTGGAAATTCAAGGGACCATTTATGGGAAGCAGACAGCAGACGGCGATAAGAGAAAGAGTCTGGTCTGGCGTGGCTTTTCGGTTTTCACTGGCTTGGGCAGCAAACTAATGCTGGGCACTATATAAAGTACGAGAATGCCAACAAAAGTGGTTGTAATTTATTCTGGTCAATTTAGACTTGCATTTTGTATTTAAAAATATATATAATAATGGTGATATTAATTACAAGATTTTTTTATATTTATTTATTAAATATAACTATTGCTTAAAATAAAGAAAAATGCTAATAGATGTAAAATAAATTATCCACAGTTCAGAATAACAATTCCTTTACAATTTTGTATTTTAGAAAATAAAATATTACTAAATTGTTAATTAAATACCATTTTTAATAAAAATAAAGAAAACGCATAAACGGTTCCGTTTCCAGGTCTTCAAGATAAACTATCCACTATCCACGGTATAACATTTCTTTTACGATTAAATAGTTATTTGGCATTCAAAAACCTCCCCCCAGAAACCCAGGTGATAACTGTAAAAATTCCCCACAAATTTTTCATTTTTTCCAGCCCTTTCCCTTTTGCTCCCCGGAAAATAATCGAGACAAGAGTGAGCCCGAAAAAACAACAACGTTTTAACCTTTAACCTTTGCTTTCGGTTGCCCGGTTACACACATACACTCACACCAACACATACACAAGCACCCACACATTGTCAACTGCTTTATCGATAAGTTTGTTTTGTTGTTGGACGGCAGGACAGGACATCATCGGCGGCTTAGTTGGCAGGAAAAACCAAAGGAGGGCGGTCCTTTTTGTCGGCAAGTGAATCGTAGCGAAGAAGAAGTCGAACCGGCAGCAGTATGGTGAGTAATAAGTTGTTAAATCACATCAACAAAAGCAGTGCATCCTTATGGCCGCACTGCTTGGCCAGCAGCAGCAGCTTCCGCCTCCTTCCGATTTCCGATTTCCGGTGCCGTTCCGCTGCTCCCTTTGGTCTTCTTCCCAGTTTCCCAGCTTCAGTTGCACTGCAAGCGGCGCATTCAATTTTTCATGCCAAGCCAGGCTGTTGCTGTTGCTGCATATACAAACTGCACTTTGCGAGTGGGCAGACAGTGGAGCCTCGACAATAATGTCCCGCTGGTCAGCACAATTGAATGGGCCTTCAGACTTGAAAAATATCGATTATTGTCCTTACACAACCATAATTAATCTTTTCTTGTTCATTTAAAAAACAGTAAGAATTCAATATGTTCGAAAAGTATATCTAAGAAATATTCCTTAAATGATTTAAGTTAAATCAGGTAAAATTTGATTCGAAACACCTAAAAAGAGTCTGTGCAAGATTTTTTTTTTAATATTTAAAAATAAATTAAATTGCAAATTGTTTCTTGAAAATGAAATTGTAACAATTATATATATTTAATTTGCCTTTGGCTCTGACATTTCCATGCTAGCTTAGCTCCACTGTGCATTTATTGCAGCCAAGCAGGAGTCCTTTGCGGCCCCTCCACTCTCCTCCTGCCGTCGGTTGTCTATTTTCGATCATTTGTTTATGTATAGACCTGCCCCCAACATATATCCGCCTTTTTTCCATCCGCTACATATATTTATTTATATGTGTATATATTTTGCGCCTTTGGACATGGCGAAAGCGCGGTCGACGACGGGCGCAGGCGGCTTCGAAAATTTTTGAATAATTTGCAGTCATAAAATATGCAATAAGCCAGCAGCCAACAGCCAACAGCTGTTGCGAAATTGTTTTGAAAGCCGCGCCATCACATTATTTAAAGCGACGATGGCAGCTCCCTTGCCCACTTTCGCCTTTCTCCTTTCCCAGCATTTCTCCGCCTTTCGCCCACGTGAAGGGAATCGAATTAAACGTTGTTAAAGGATTTAAAGTGCGAAAAATAGTTGCGAGCTGCAGACGACAATTGCGCAATCCCCTTCCCCTTCCCCTTTCCCATTTTCATCTTCATTTTCATTTTCCTGTGGGGAGAGCTCATTCAATTTGCATAGACAAATGTGGAAATTCTTTGGGGCAAGTTCAGCGGCGACTTCAACTCCTAGACTCCAGATTCCAGATTCCAGCTCAGCTGGGGTCTTAGCTTTATTATTTAATTTTTCGGGATTTATTTTAGTTTGCTTTTTGGACTTACAGGTTGTCTTGTGAGTCTTTATTTATTAATATGCTGTGCATTACTGCATTTTGTATCTTTAATGTATTTAAATATAATATTATTTTCTTACAGCCGCCGAAGGGTAAAAAGGGCAAAAAGGGCAAAAAATTGCCAGGTAAGTACAACTATAGAAATATATTGAAGCAATAAATTTCTTTATTAATTTATTAAAAAAAAAACCATCAAATTAGAAAAAAAGGATCCCAAAAACAATTATAAACCATTTGGGATGCCACAGAAATAGCTAGTTTTTGAAATTACTTTTAAATGTAAAAATAAGTGTCTAAAAGTATCCAACAATATATTTTTAGTCCGAAAGTCAACTGAATACATTTATTAAGATGATTATTTCTTTTTCATTGCATACTTTTAGGCACATATTTTGACATTTAAATTTGATTTATAAATATATTTAATTCTAAGGCCAAATTAAAATTTTCGTTAGAAACTTTAATTTCGAAATTGCTTAGTTATTCCAGTATTTATGCTGGGTCCTCTTTAAAGGACTCCGGCCGTTAAAGCCTCTCTGCACGCGGAGACAAACGGAACAAGGACGAGGACTGCCTGGCAATTCATTTTCGGAACATTAATGGCAGCAGGGTGCCACTGGGTAGTTGAGTTGGGTAGTTGGATAGCTGGGCAGTTGGGCAGCTGGAATGGCGGACATTGGTCATTCAGGGCAATTTAAAAAGGCCAAGCAAAACAATTAGTAAATAACGATAATCTGTGTGAGGAGGGGCCAAAGGGGGGCTGAAGTGGCCAGGAGGAGAAGACCAGGAAGAGAACTGTGGACAAGAAATTCCCGATGCAATTGCTCTGGCGGAGCCTTGCAGCCCAAAAATTAAAAGGGAAAAAATGGGGGGCCAAACTGTCCACTTAATTTCCACGAGTGAGCACACTGCATTTTCCCCCAAGCCCCCGACCACTGACCCCTGACCTCCCCGCGCTCCCTGGGACATCTAACGCACATAATTGTTTCTATGCATGCACTAAGAAAAATATATAGTAAATAATGGTGTAAAAAAAGATTTTATAAATACTGTTTGCCTTTTTTTAATCACTAGTAAGCAAACGTTTATTATGATCCTAACTCTGCCAATCTATTTTGTTTTGGTACTACCTTTTAAATAAATCAAATAATGCCTTTGTTTTATGGTAACTAAATTTCCCAGTTAATATTTTGTTTATTTTCAACGATTTCGTAAGAATAATATTTTTATTTAAATTGTTGTTCGACATAAGAAATCTATATTATTTGTCGTGTTTTCTTCCGTGTGGCTCCTAGTCCGAGTCCTAGTAGTCCTGGTCCTAGTAGACCTTTCTAGTTCGAGTCCTGGCACCAGCCGGCCAACGATGCCAATTACAGAAAACAATTACAACACGGTCTGCTGCTGGGCCACATATGCGGGCAGTGGCCAAGGAAAGGGGGCGTGGCAGGGGTAAAAATGGTCGAAAAGGGGGTAAGGGGGGGAGCAGGAGGGGCAACCAGGCGTGCCGCTCTCATTAAATTGCCATAAAGCCGGGAACCCCAAATATGCGGCCAAAAACTTTTCACTCACCCACTTTTCATTTGGTCAAAACATAGGAAAATAAGAAAGTGGAGAATCCATTAAGAATTTGTGCCAAAGACAGGCATTTTTCTGATATTTTTTGCCCACTAATAACATAAGCTAGCGATCCCCAGTACAGGGGGTAACATTACCATTTAATATTGGATCCCGACTCGTAATAAACTATATTAAAATATTATTATGAAATAAGTATTCCGAAATCTGATTATAACCATTTTTCACCCCATCCTCAGTGCTTATCGATGGCGTGGACACATCGGCGATGACCCGCGATCAGCTGGAGGCCTTTGCCCTCCGGCTGAAGGCGGAAATGGATCGGGAGCGGGAGGAGCGGAACTACTTCCAGTTGGAGCGGGACAAGATCCGCACCTTTTGGGAGATCACGCGCCAACAGCTGGGTGAGTCCTGCAGATCGTAACCCTATTTTTTTCGATTTCTGAGATGGGTAGTTTGGAAATGCGTATCTTAGGATTTTATTCTCGGGTTTATATTAATTTTGTTAATTTTTCCTATACTCAGATGAAACCCGCTATGAGCTGCAGCAAAAGGACAAGGAGATCGAGGCCACGCAGGACCTCGCCGACATCGACACCAAGCACGTGATGCAGCAGATGAAGCACCTGCAGTTCGAGAACCACAACAAGCTGGGCGAGGTTCGGGCCGAGGCGATGACCCAGCTGAAGTTGGCCCAGGAGCACCATGTCCTCCAGGAGAACGAGCTGCAAAGGGACAAGCGCCAGCTGCGCAGGATGCTCCGCGAAAGGATGGAGATGAGCGAGATGCAGCTGCGCCAAATGGAGGCCCATTTCAACGAGAAGCTGCTGTGGGTACCCTCTTATAAGCATTGATCCCAGATAGGTGTACTATGTCACAAGTTCTCAGCTAAATTATTAGTTTTTTTATTAAAATCTAGCAAATTTAGGAAAAACAATTTATGAAACCAAGATAAATATAAATAAATGTATAACTACTTTTCCAAATTTATTTAGAAACCTTTTAAATTCAAAAAATTGAAATTAAAATAAAATATAGATGTTTAAAAGGAAATTCTAAAAGTTGCGTGTACGTCGAAACCCACCAGAAACTCTGAATATTTCTACTATTTTGCATTTCTGATACTGTCAACATTTTTCAAATTAAGTTTAACTATTTATTTAATTAAATTAATTGTTTTTCGTTGACAGGGAGCAGCGCATCACCTTCGAGCGCGAGCGCAAGGACAACGAGATGCTGCACGAGGAGAAGATGATCGAGCAGAAGGCCAAGCTGGACCTCTTCTACGGCACCCAGATGTTCGAGGTGGAGGAGCGCAAGAACCAGCAGATCAAGGACCTGCAGGACCACCACGACCTGGCCTTCAACGACATGAAGAACTACTACAACGACATCACGCTGAACAACTTGGCGCTGATCGGCAGCATGAAGGAGCAGCTGGAGCACCTGCGCAAGCAGGCGGAGCGCTCAGACAGGATCGCAGCGGACACGGCGGCGGAGAATCGGCGGCTGAAGGAGCCGCTGGAGCACGCGAACATCCAGCTGAACGAGTTCCGCAGGAAGCTGGAGTTCTACGAGCGGGACAAACAGCAGCTGAGCCGCCTCAAGGCGCGCAACACTCGGCTGGAGAAGAAGGTCAAGGGGCTCACGTGGGAGGCGGAGACTCTGATCCTGCGCAACGATTCGCTGGTGGCGGAGCGGGAGGGTCTGAAGGAGCGCTTCAACGACGTCATCGTGGAGCTGCAGCAGAAGACGGGGCTGAAGAACGTCCTTCTGGAGCGCAAGATCGCCGCCCTGATGCGCGAGGACGAGAAGCGCAGCATTGTCCTGCACGAGACGATCGCCACCTGCGCCCCGAACTTCGCCGAAAAGCTAACCAGCCTGGACGAGCGCGTGGGCAACATCGTCGACGAGAAGAACAAGATCATCCTCGACCTGCGCTACGAGGTGGCCAAGGCCCGCAAGGCCCACGACGACCTCCTCGAGACCTACGAGTGCAAGCTGAAGCAGTACGGCGTGCCCACCGACGAGCTGGGCTTCAAGCCCCTCAGGGACCGGGACCAACAGCAGCTGTACGTCTGCGGTCCAGCTGGAATAATCACGGAGAACAAGTAGAGTCTTCGGTCTCAGGAGATCAGTCTTCGAAGGTTGTATCACAAAACGATTTCGAGACAAGGAAGGAAAGGGGATCAAAAATCACAGCCAAAAGTATAAACTTCTGAAATACTTCTATAATACTTGATTTTGGATAGAGAGATAGAAAAAATGATGTTCAAAAATGAAACTCAATTTCTTTTCAAGAAATTGTATTACCAAAAGATATAACACCGGTAGGTTTTCCTCTGAAAATCTTTTGAAATTGAAAAGCTCACAATGGAAAAAATTACCATATTATATTTTGATTATAAAAAATAATGAAGGGATGGTTTATTTTATTTGAACCATGCAGAAAATCACTAATATATCATATAATCATACTAAATATGATAACGAACGAAACGAAGAGATAAAGGGAATTAATAAGTATTAACATTTAAAATAGAAACTGGAAATGTAGAAAAAGGATGATCTAACTATATTTTTTACCACATAACAAAAAGAAGAAAATAATTCAAAGAAAAGGGAGGAAATATATATTACGCTAAAATTAATTGGATCAAATTATACTCAGGCAAAGAGAAAAAATTCCCGCCTTCATAGCCTCAGTAAAAGTAAATTGTCAGTGCTGCTCGGATCTATTTATCCTTGCATAGATCAGTGTTTAAGAAGTCTGTGTATTATAAAAAAGATTAATAAAAAATCTATCAACAATAGAATTTTTTCAAAGTCCTTGCTTAATCCTTCCCATCTTTAAGAATCCATTTTCCAGGTTGCACAACAGGGCATGATCTCACCAGGATTCCATGTTCCTTTAAATAAAGCAGAAAAGACCCACCCAGTAAATTCAAATGGCGAGTGCTGTTCGAATCATTCAGAATTTATTCAACGTTAGCCTAGATTAGTGTATAAGAAGTATGTATACGTTTATGTATATGCTTATAAAAAACCTTCTGGAATACGTTAGCAAGGAGTTGAACATTTTGGGAATGCGCGTACAATCCAAATTTCGACTAACACTACAGACAGAAAGAGATAGAGAGAGTGCGGGGCGAGAAAGAGATAGAGAGAGAGTCAAAGTCGAGCCATGTTTTGCTGATGTGTGTGTTTTAGTAATCAATATGGATCTGTGGTTCGGGATCTTACGTAACTCTTCAACGGAAAATTATAAAAATCTTCATCTTCATCTTCATCTTAATCTTCGTTTTCGTTTTCGTCTTCGAAACTCTGCTTTCTGAACGCTTCGTGGCTTTAGGCTAATTTTACTATATTCGGTTTTTGTTATGGTTAGGGTTTCTCTTTAGTTTGTCAATTGATTTATTTTTGAAATAGATATCACATGATGTTTTGCTTCTTGTTGCTGTTTTACTACGGATTTAATTCAATTCGTTTCGAGTCGATTTCAGTTTCAGTTTTAGTTTTCGTTTTATTTTTAGTTTCCTTTAAATTGATTTGATTTGATCAACAACAATAATTTTTCTTATTTAAATTTCCTCTAACTGAAATGTGTTTCCTTGGCATTTGTTTTTATTGTTTAACTTCATTTTCACGGTTCAACTTTTCGGTAACTTTACGGTTTTAACTGTTTGGTTTGCGTTTCTCTGTGCGATACACTTTACAAACTGAAGTATTTACTTATATAGTAACAATAATGGTTTTAGGTATGGCCCCAATATAATAATTAGCAAAAATAAATCAGCCCATTTAAAAAAAATTGTTAGTGGGCTATTAAAAAAAAATGATTATAAATAATGACCATATTTGGTTTATCGTTTTAGGTCTAATAATACAAAAATAATGATACGTTTTCAAATTGGAATGCGTAAATTAATACGTCGAGATTTCTCTTACACATATATATACTTCGGACCACAAAATTTTGTGTGCTTAAACCGATAAATAAACTTTTGAAACTTAAACTTAAGTAGTTGTAAAATAAAATTATAAGAAGAGACCACAGATTAGGGGGAAAAAAGTATTTTGTTTGGGTCTCTTCCAATTTTTCTTATGTTAATTCCTCTTTCGAAGAGGGCACAAATGAGCCTTAGCATTAGTAACAATAAATTCAAATCAATGCAGAGGTCAGATCTTTCCTCGACAATCTGTAAAGTGTATACATTCTGCGGTAGTCCGAAGATTCCTCCTTCCTTCGAATCCCGATCCTTCGATCTACCTTATCCTCGATTCTTCTCAGGCAGCGCGGGTTAGTTGAATACTTCTTGTGTGTAGTTCTGCTGGATTTTTGGAGTTCAATTGGTTGGCTCTGCAGTATCAGTTTCAGTTTTAGTTTAGCTTTTGTTGTATAGGTACTTTTCGGTTACGATCCTACTGATTTTGAGTTCACAAACTATATAGAATAACTTATAGCCGCCTGTTGCCGTTTGTGTTCCGGCTCTTCTGTATTTTGTATTTTGTATCTTGTTTTTTGTATTCAGTAGTTTGCAGTTTTGTATTTATGTTTTGTTTAAATCAAAATTTAAAGCGATCACAACGGTTTACTTCACAGACGCGTGTGGAAACATTTGGTTAGAAATGTCCGTGGAAATATTTCCTATTTTCATTCGTATCGTTTCGATTTCTGGTTAATTAATTTTCGTTTTTGTTTTCGTTTCGATTTCCCTATGTTCGGTTGGATTTTTTGTTTACCTTCCAAATTGGTTGCTAGGCTTTCTATACAAGTAAATGTAATTTAATCGTAATTTGAGTATAATTTCACTTAACTAATTTTAGTCAAATTGGTAGCGTTTGCTCGTCGTTTCGTTATTGTTCTCTATGTGGTTTCGGTTCGGCGTTTTTCCTCACAATCCTAATAAATATACTGATCGAGTGTATGGGGTGTGTGTGTGTGTGTTTCTGTTTCTGTTAATGGTGTGTGTATGGCACATTGGGAGTTTTCCTTTTCATTTTCCATTTCCTTAACATCTTTTGCCTTGTACGCGTTTCGACTATTTAGCTAATTTAATTCGATTCTATTCGAGCACAACATAAATCTATGATCGATCTGAGGCTATAACTGGATTCGCTTAGTGATTGGTGATTATTGCTTTGACTTGGACTATTTTAAAGTTACGTTAGAATAATATTCAATATTCAATACATAGGCCATATGATTAGTTTACATTTAACTTTAACTTTATCTAAATGCCATAATTTGTGTTTCAGTTTCAGTTCCAGTATTCGATTTTTGAAAAAGTCTAAACTAAAATGAAAGTTTTACTAACATTTTTGTTTGTAAGGCAATTTGTTTGTTGTTCTTTTTTTGTCGGTTTTTCTTTTCTTTTCTTTCCTTTTCTTTTCTTTGTTTGTTGTTTGCGCTTGCGTTTGCTTTTGCTTTGAGATTGTTTTTAATCCAAATTGAATTTAGATTGAGTTCAGTTCAGTTGATTCAGTTTGATTTCAAAAAATAAATCCACCAAATCTAGTACAAATACAAATACGAATACAAAGGTGATTACACAAAACGAGCGTTAAAAATATCTAACTAACCCGATTGCAATTCTGGTTTCTGAATTCTGGATTCCGGGGTGTAACTATTACCATTATTAGTACATAAGTATGTAGCATTAAGTTGGCCTGGCTCTACGATGATTACACGCCAAGGACCTACGCGTATATGTTACATGAAAGCTATTCGGAACGTGGGGAGTGGGTGGACGAGCGCCCGGGCGTCTATGAAAGCGAGAGAGATGGCCGATGGCAACGAACCGAGGGCCACCGTCCTTCAACAAATGGAACTGCTTTGCGGTGCGATTAATTGGGATTCGAGAGGCTGCTCCTCCGGCTCTTCTAGTAGAACTTCCTGCGAGCGAAGGCGTTGATCAGGCGCGGCGTGTGCTCGTCCAGGCTGCACAGCTCCAGCAGGTTTTCGTTTCGTGCGCCGGAGTACAACATGGAGCGGTGGTGCTGCCGCAGGCTTAGTATAATGAATCTGTGGCGGGAGAGTGTATAATCAAGTGATCCTTATAACTGAAGGTGAGGAGAACTCACTTGGCATTGGAGCTCCGCTTCTCGCGGTACTCGTCCATCAAAGCAGCCAAGCCCTTGGAACTATTCGCCTGATTTCCTCGCCCAGCACCCGGCACCAGCACCAGAAACACATCGTACGTGTTCTTCTCATCCTCCAGCGCTCTGTCCAAAATGTCCGTCAGCGACTGCTTGATCTTCAGCACCTGCAGCGAATTACAGGGTTTTTTTTTCGAGTTTACATAATTTTAAATTTCTAAATTCAGCCAAATTACCTTCTGATTCTCGCAGCAGGCCGTGGCCTCTGCCACGCTCATCTCCTTTGTCCAGGGCAGCGTCTTCAGCTGGCCACTGCGGTCGTGCCAGAACTGCACCGTCACCTTGGGATCGCTGCGGAAGTAGCCAAAGGCCATGGCCACCAGGGCATCTAAGTATTTAAGCGAACGGCAGCGACCGGAAAGGTATTCTGTTGGCGGGTTTAATTAAATTAGTCTGGGAATTAAATGGGATGCAAGAAACACTTACTGCCCAGGTAGTGCTGCTCCAGATTGAGGGTGATGTGCAGCCGCCGGCCGAGCGCCTTGTTCTGGCCAAAGGATGCCTCGTAAACGCTATGCAGAAAACTCGCCCTTTGCATAAGAATCACTCTGCAGTCGCACTAGAAAAGTGGTATTTATTAGTGAGTATGAATTGCTCTACAAGTAAACCGCACTCACCACCTTCCTGGGCTTCCGCAGACGCATGTCCTCCAGCAGCAGGCGCACGGGCGGCACATTGCCCGCCTTGAGCTTCTTCTCGTCCAGCAGCTGCGCGGCAAAGGGTCGCACCTGGTGATGCAGTCGCGAGAGACGCGGCCAGCTGCGGAGGAGCTGCTCGTAGCTCATGCGTGGTACGAGATACTTGGCCAGCCCGGGATCGTTGAGCAGCTGCAGCGGCACGTGCTCCCAGCTCAGCGCTAGCTTCTTGACAATGGGCAGAGCCTGCTCGGGATCCTGCAGGAGTCGCAGCTTCACCACGCCCTCGATAATGCCGCGGTTACTGCTCAGCGGCGTCAGGAAGCTGGGCCATTGCGACAGCTCCTTGGGCGACGACGAGAGCAGCCGCAGGGCAGCCATGATCTCCGGCCGAAAGTCGCCGTCCCGGAAGTGGCAGCGGTGCAGCAGGTCGCGATGCGCCGACCAGCGGGTACCGTCGCCCACCGACCACAAGTGGAGCAGGCGGTCCAGCGATTGCTTGCCGTACCAGTCGAGGATGGCCTTGCGCACCGTGCGATTGAAGGGCGTCTTGCGGTCGAGCAGCTTCTGGACTCGCTTCACCAGCTGAACAAAGAGCATGAGGTCCGATTCGCTGGTCACCAGGTCGGCGAACCGGCTGCGCACCAGTTTGCGTTGCTTTTCGTCGTCGCGCGTGGTGAGATAGACGGCCAGGATGAGGAGCGGCTCGTCGGGGCGCGGCAGGTGCTCCGCATTCGGTCCGCTGCCCAGGACACTCGCCAGGCACTCGGCCAGCTCGCCCTCGGTCACTTGGGAGCAGAGGTCCTGCAGAGACGCAAAGCTGGTCTCTACGGCGAGGTCCAGCGTGGGAGTAGCATAGACAGGCTCTTCCGTGGCGCCGATGAAACAGAAGCGGCGCAGCTTGTCAATCGCCGGGATGGAGGAAATGGGAGTGGACTCATTGGGCACTGTTGCATCTTTAACGGGCTCTGTCTTCAAGGGCTCGTTCTTTACTGGCTCTTTCTTCAAGGGCTCCTTTTTCTTAACTTCAGCTGGAAACGAGAAGATATAAAGGTAAGATTAAGATTAGCTAGATTATAAAATTATGAATTTAATTCCTTTAATCATTTAATAATACAAAAGATAGTGATATTTTATCGCTCGCTAAAATGGATATTTACTTGGATATGGATGGATCTGGATATTTACTTACAATGGATATTTAATTAAAATAATTCAATAATTCTTCATAAAATGTTAAATATTTCGTTAAAAGAAAATATATATTTTATTTAAAATAGTTTCATGAAACTCGGAAGTAAACTTAAGTTACTTTGATTAAGTTATTAATTTTATACTTTTTAATTAAGGTGGCTATATTTTCTTGGACTAAACACTTTTATTAACCGTAAGGGTTAAATTGGTTAACTGGTATCCTGGACTAAGGGGTAGTATTTTTATGCCCGCCACTGTGTTTGCATAGAAATAAGCACGTGCATCCTGAAGGTCCCAAAGTAAATGAGTTTTGAACACTTGGAATCGTAAATTATCAATTTGTTAACTAATATTTTGTGCAATTATTAAATTAGAAATGTATACATTACTGCAATAAGGTGGTGAAATTTTTTCTGCCCGCCACTGTGTTGCCATGGTAATAACCACATGTATCCTAGCTTTCCCAATTGTAAATGAGTTTTTAACACTTTGATTAAAGCGAAAATATTAAATTAAAAATAATTTGTATTATGGTGACCCTGCATTAAAATGGTGATATTTTTCTTCCCGCCACTGTGTTTGTATGGGAATGAGCACGTGTATCCTAACTTTTCGAAAGGAAAAATTAATTTTATACACTTTTTTTGATTCGTAAATCATTAATTTCTTAATTATTATTAAACGTTAAAGATCCTAAAGGTGGTGATATTTTTGCGCCCGCCACTGTGCTTGCACGGGAATGAGCACATGTACCGTTTTGGAAGCTCTGGAAGGGGAAGTGCGTCGTACTCACATTCCTTGGCAGCCAGCGAGTCCTTCTTCTTCTTGCCCGGCTGCTTCTCCTTGGCCTCCTGCTGCCGCACCGCCGATCCTCCCGACGGTCCCGCCGATCCCCTGGGCACCGCGACTGCCGCAGATAATCCCCGGGATAATCCCTTCGATCCAAGGGAGCTTGATCCCTTGGCCTTTGGCATGGCAGCGATTATTGCATTTTACGCTCACACCGCACTTTCTGGGGATTGACAGGCCTGATAGCTCGATTTGCCACGCCCTGTTTGATCCGACTCGCCCACCGTGTCTCCTGAAGCAGCTCTCTTTGTCCTTATTTGCGACTTAGCAAGTTTTATACATAATTTTGCAATGAAAACAATTTGTATGTTTTGTTATCGATAGTAGGAGGCGTTGTGATGGAATGAACCTGTCAGTGTGACCATTTGGGGAAATGGGTTTTATGTCAAATTATGCGAGTTCTTGATAAAAAATAGATGTTAATTTTAATTTTAAATATAAAATATATACAAGTATAAATAAATGGTTTTGAACTAGGAGGAATCAAATTCCCTCCGTTATTCCCTCGATACCGATATATCGTCATCGGCGCACGGTCACATTGGTAAATCAGCTGTTCCGTTTGATTTGATAACACTGGGACTTGGATTCCAATTCCACCTGGTTTTCTCCAAATTGATCACTGAAATCCCGCCTGGAGATGCAGTTCCTCCGCGTGGGTGGCCGCATGGCGGCCCTGCGCCAGCGATTGACCGACCGCATCCAGCTGCCGGAGCGCTTCAAGGGCACGCTGGTGGAGAAGTGGGTGAAGTACTGGAACGGCCTGGTGCGCGACTACTCGGAGGTGGCGGTGGGCGTGGTGCGGGAGTCGTACACGAAGCCCAAGAAGGCGCTGCTCTACGGCACCGGCATGCTCTTCCTCTACCACGCCGGCCTCAATAATCCCGACGAGGAGGCCTTCATGACCCTGCTGCGCGGAGCCACCAATCGGATGATCACGGTGCCGCCGGAACTGCAGAATCCCGTGTCCGCCGACTACCTGCTCACCCTGGAGAGGGCCATCAACCAGAAGAAGCTGCGCCTCCTCTCGCTGGGCATCTGCACGGTGCTCTGGGTGGACATCTACGACGAGGACGACTGCACCTATCCGGCCATCTGCGAGTACACGACGGTGGGTCTGCTCAACTTCCACGAGCGGATCATCGACGTGGGCTTCTGGAATCAGTACTGGCGTCTCAAGTGGAAGATGCGCAACTACGATGTCAACTACCTGTGATCGCCGCCCTTTCTCCCTATTAACTTGTTGAAATCCCTCGAGGAAATACCAATATATGTATGTTTTTAGTACAGAAAAAGCCTTTCTTTTTCTTTGGAAATTGTTCCGTAAATTGCTTTAAAAATAGGCAACATTTATCCTCGAATATCATTGTAATACCATACAAATATTGTATATCTGCGGAATTTACTCCTCCTTTTCCAACTCGGCTCCATTTGATGGTTTCGGAGCCTCGACGACGATCTTCTTGGGCCTGAATTGCGCCTCCAGCAGCGCCTGGCAGTCCTGCAGTCGCGCCAGGCTGTTGATCTTGCCCTGGAAGCTGCCCTCCTTGCCGTTGCCCTTGCCCTCCAGCAGCTCCACGAACTGGGGGCCCAGTTGCTCGACCATTTCCGGCTCGCCGCGCAGCACCAGGTGGCCCTTGGCACTGCTGCCGGCGGCCACGCCCTCGGCGACGGTGAGGAAGTAGAAGATGCCCTCGGGGGCCACGCGCAAGAATGTGTTGATGAAGTCCACCTCGATGCCGTCGCGTCGATGGAGGGCAAAGTACTTGGGGCGCTCCTTCTTGGGCAGATCCTCCAGCCGCTCGGCCTCGGCGGTGGCAAAGTCCTTGAGCAGCTGCTGGAAGTACTTGCGGCTGCCCTTCACATTCTGCTGCAGCTTCTGGACGAGCTCCAGGTGCTGGCCGGGCCCGCCTCTGTGGAATAGAGGCGATGTAAGACGATGAAGAAGGGAATATGTACGGGCTAGACTCACTTGAGGGCCTGGGTGAGCTGCTGTTCGCGCTGGAAGACCTCGCCCAGCTTAGCGAGCACCCTTTCGCCCACCACAAAGTGGACCAGGACATTCGTCTTGACCTTCTCGGCGTACAGCAGCTTGATGCACTGCAACTGCGAGAGATTCGTGACGTGGGTGCCGCAGCACATGTTGCTCTCGATGCCCTCGATGCGCACCACCCTCGCCAGGCCCTCGTGGTCCTTGGGCAGGCCGCGTGGTGCCCGGGCGTCCTGGAACTCCTGCGCCACCTCGGGATCTACCAGGAGCACCGTGACCGCGCGCCCCTCCCGGATCAGATCGTTGGCCTGCCGCTCGATGAGGTCCAGCGACTCGCGACTGATCAAATGGGGCGTGCTCAGCTGGATGTACGAGGCGCTGGAGCCCAGGGACCACGAGGTGGTGTCGTACTTGAACTCCCGGTCGAACAGGGCGGTGATCAGGTGCTGGCCCGAGTGCTGCTGCATGTGGTCCAGCCGCCGCTGGTAGTCCAGGGTCAGCAGGACCTCGGCATCCTGCTCGAAGCTCGTCGGGGACTCCACAAAGTGCACGGCCGTGGTGCCCTTCCTCTGGACATTCCTCACGGGAAACCCGGCCAGAGTTCCGTAGTCGCAGGGCTGGCCACCGCCCTCGGGAAACAGTATCGTATCCTCGCAGACCACATGGAATCCCTTCAGTTTCTCCACCTTTCCACTGCCATCCGGCCAATCCAAGGTGGCGAACTCGCTGCTCACGATTTTCGTCTTGAACTGAAATTAGGTTACCAATTATGTAATTAAAGGGTACTAGGGGAATTCTAAGACTCACCTGCTTCAGGAAACTGTCCTCCTGGCACTTGAACACCATCTTCTCATTCAATCCACGCAATCCCCAGTTGGCCTATCGCAATAATAAACAATTTATGAGCGTTCCGTCAACAAGTGTTCATTTGGCGGCTAGTTCACCGCCAGTTCATTCTAGAGATGCTCGGATATTCACTGACTCGATGACTCGAAGTTCTTAACTGTTTCAGGCTATTTAAAAAATTATAGGTAGTTATTTAGAATTTAAAACTACACAACTGCACTTTTTGTACTTATTATTTAATTATTTACTTTTTAATTAGGTTATTGCAAAAACGTATACAACGTTTGGAATTAGTTAATAGATTTTGTGATGAACTGCCTAAAAAATATATATTAACTAGTTTCAAACGCTATTTACGTTTTTGAACTAATTACAAAATATATTAACTAATTTCAAACGTTTTATTTATATCTTTTGTAATATCGTTATTATTATTTTGTTGTTTAACTTAATATTTATACACTTACAAAAATGGGTATTAGTTAAAATGTGTTTATACTAGATCAGTTAACTGTTTTTTAAGAAGTAATTTTTACAAATAGACTTCACAGTTTTTACTAATTAAAGTAATACATTTAAAAAACTTTTAGTTTTGACTAGATCATGATACTTCCGTTATAGGTTTTGAACTCACTGTTAACAATAAGCTCATTTTATGGGTTATTCCGACACAATGCAACACTAGATAAAAAAGCACTAGCGCGGAAAACTAACTGTTCAAAATGCGCTAACGCCTTTCGCCACCAACCGTTGTAACTGAATAAAGTATTTGAAAATAGAAAAAATGATTGAATTTGAAATAAATTAATTAAATAAATAATTAGCTTTAGCTTTAAATGGAAGAACTCTATATATGGCTTAAAAAAAGTTAATATTAACAGCTAATTTCCCAGTTAATTGGCTTTTTGCTGCCCTATTTTCCTCCCTCTTCTGTTTACCATCTTCCCTCTCGCTCGGATTCGCGTTTCGCCCTCTCGCTCACACCCACGCGATGTGATGCTGCGTCTGCGCTGCTCTTTTCGCTTTTTCGCTCTCCCGCTCCCGTTTTATCGCCCCCCTCCCCGCCCGTTAACCGTTATCCTTTTCATCCTGCCATTCATGTGTTACGTCCTTGCTGCTCAACAGTTTCCTGCCAACGTCCCGTTACGACACACCGTTACGTTATTCCAATCAGAATCACGGGATAGCGAAAGGAGCGACGGAATCGGTCTTTAAATAGGCTTTAAAGGCAACCACCTGCAACCGTTAATCCAGGGATAATCGGATAATAACCCCCAATCACGTCCTTCGCCGTTATCGGTCGCACCTGACCGTCATTTCGTTGTTTGTTTTAGTGCGACTTCATTTTTTCGCGAGTGTTTTCTTCGGTTATATAAGTGAGAATTTGTCGGGCCACAAAAAAAAAAAGTTACCACTCAAAAGTGATATTCCCCGCCATTAAAACAGGCTAAAAGAAAAGTAAAGCTTCAAGCGCCCCCCTAAAAAATTATCCTTAATAGCATGCTAATATAGAGTAAAAATGTAGGTCTCCATGGCAGCAAATTTCACTCCACCTTATGTAGAAAATAACCTCCATCGTCCTGGGAAACTAAGCCTAAACTAATTGCAGGTCGAAAAAGAAAGTAAATTCCATTACACTGCATTAGTGAGTGGGCGTAAAATGTTCGGGGGGCGATGGGGGTTAAAGAGGACTCACCGTTGATTGATTTATTGTGAGGACCCAGAGTCACGCAAGCCCTATAGATGTCTCAGTGTGTGTGGGTCCTTTCTTTTTGCATGATTTGATTGATGGAAAGCACACGTGGAAAAAATACCCACTATTCACATTGAATAAATATAACAATAATTAAGCATTTAATATAATATATTTGTAATTTATTTTTAACTTACTTATCTTAACACTTCATTTGTTTTAAAATAGCTATTATGCTATCCGAATCTTTATCTTTTCTTATCATGAGGAAAAATGAAGCAGTCAAACTCAAGTACATATCAAGATATGTAAAAAGAAATGTTGACATTTTTTAATATTTAATATAATTTTATAAAATTCATAAAATTGTAATAAGACCTTCTTACTTTATTTCTTGATGTCATTTATATTATTATATTAGAAAAACATTGATTTTTTTTAGAATGTTAAACATCAGTATTAATACCAATACATTTGTCAAGCGTTTTTCCCAGTATTTAACTTTTACTATAATTTTGTACGGGAAATTGTTATAGATTTATGGCATACTTTTTTCTCTCTGTGCATGCAAGTTGTATACAATTATTAGTAATACGTATTTCACTCGACAAAAGCAGATAGCGGCACTGCGATGGCGTCTACTACTAATGCACCGTTATCACCTGCAATTAAGCACTAACAAAACCAGCACCAAACCACAGTAAAAACCACAATAAAACCAAAAGAAATCAGCAAAAAACTAAAGCAAAGAAAACACGTCAGAAAGGGGTTAAAATGCGATTTATTTAGCCAACCAGAAAAGTATGCTACGAAAAATGTCCAGTGAGTTGCTAGTTACCTGAACGCAACACCAGGTGGCGCCGAAGAAAGTGAAAACCGAGGAATATTTGGAGAAACGGAAACGGAAGTGATAGAGAGCGCACTTAGGCCCACACACAGAAGCACACACACACACCAACCCACACAGCACCCACACTCACACATCTAATACTCTGTAATAAATCGAAATAATAATAAAACGCAATCATGGCCAACACAGCTCAGTTATTGCGTCGCCAAAGTTCCCGGGATATAGTCCTCAAAAGCCAGAAGAGCATCGATCAGCTGGAATTGAGGGTAAGTCGAGGGGATTACGTACAGCAATCGGAGCAATTATGAAGGTCTTTAGCCAGGATAATAGTGCAAAAGAGAATTTCAAACAAGAAGAAATGGCATAGTTTTTGTGTACATTTATTTATTCTTATAATTTTAGAATAAATAATTTGCTTGAAATATTAAGGTACTGACTTAAACTAGTTTAAATTTAGAAAGTGAAACTCATCTTAACGAAGTGTTGCAGATTTTTATAAATTAATTATAGGGTTATTTGGGGCAAAATTAGTAAGAATATTTGATACAAATAGTATGTATTTTTGGTGTAAGGCCATTTTTGGCCAAGTTACAGCAAAAAAACAAGAACCCAAGAACCCAGATCCCAATTTTTCACAAAAAAAATAATTCGTTTTTTGGCCGTAAAAATGGAAATATTGATCCAAATATGGATTGTCCTACCTTTCTAAACTCTTTATTAAATTTCGAATCGATTGGCATTTAAACCTGGACATTTTATTTTTTCGCCATTTTTCGCAAAAAATTATGAGGTACCCCCTTATAAAAAAAATGAAAATTGGCGAAAATTTTATTTTTCCAAAATCACAAGGGAAGTGTTATGGATTTAATTATCATATTGTTTTCTATTCAAAACAGTATGCATTTTTGGTGTAGGACCATTATTGGTCAAGTTACAGAAAAAAAACCAAAAGAAAATTTTCATATTTTTGTCAAAAACCGAAATCCTAAATTTCCAATAAAAAACATTAACAGTTTTTTGACCGAAATAGTTTTATATACAGGAATAGATACTTGTGGACATATAGAATCTTAAAATTAAATTTTTAAATATTTTGTTTTATTATGCTAAAACATTACTAAACCCAATTAAATTCGCCAGGAACTACGAGGTCGCCTGGTGACGAAGGAGCATGGCGTCAGCCACCACCACCACACATCGCTGCACCACCACCAGCCGCTCTATGGGGCCACCAACCAGGGCTTCATGTCCGACGCCTTCGACGAGTCCTCGGAGCTGGAACAGGACCCGCCGCCCTTCGGCTCGGAGGCGAGCACCTCGAGGGCCAAGGCCGAGCTGGTGGCCAGCGCCTCCGCCGCCGCGGATCAGCAGGACATCGTCGAGGGCGAGAAGGAGGGCGAGGAGCGGGAGAGCTGGGACAGCAAGATCATGTTCCTGCTGGCCACCATCGGGTGAGTTTTGGAGTGGTGATTTGGCCTGGATCCGTATTTATGCTAGCAAAAAAACTAGTGCCTACGAGAACATATTAACTTAAAACTATGATTTTTTATGGTCTTCAAAGAGTTCATTATTTTTTAAATATTTTTTCTTACAGTATTTCGTATTTTATTATTTATATGATATTTTATAGGACTTATATATTTTGTAGAATTTTTTGCTGATTTAAATTTGTATACAAACCATTTTAAAAGTTTTTAAAGGGATTTATATTTTCTGAATTAAAGTCTTATTTAAAATATTTTCTAATACAAAGTTCTGTTGCTTTTGAAAAAAAATATTATTTTTAAAAAATATTTAAACAAAAAATCAAGTTGTTTTAAGGGATTTCTATTTTTGGAACATTTTTTCCAGAATTTAATTCGCATTTCTTATACACCTTCTATTTCTTATTTATTAGTTTTTAAATAATTATTTAGACTTACCTTCTTTGTGGCATTGTTTTTCCCCTAGTTAAATACGGGGCCTCCATATAATTGCAGTCCCTATATCACTACATTTTCCGACCCACAGCTATGCCGTTGGCCTGGGAAACGTGTGGCGCTTCCCCTACTTGGCCCAGAAGAACGGCGGCGGGGCCTTCCTGGTGCCGTACTTCATAATGCTGTGCATCCAGGGCATACCGATCTTCTACCTGGAACTGGCCATCGGCCAGCGGCTGCGGAAGGGGGCCATCGGGGTGTGGAGCCAGGTGTCGCCGTACCTGGGCGGCATCGGGATCTCCTCGGCGGTGGTTAGCTACATAGTGGCCCTGTACTACAATACGATAATCGCGTGGTGTCTGATCTATCTGCTGCACAGCTTCGAGTCGCCGCTCCCGTGGGCGGACTGTCCGACGCGGCTGTACAAGAACTTTACCTACGATCACGAGCCGGAGTGTGTGGCCTCCTCGCCGACGCAATTCTACTGGTACCGCACCACGCTGCAGTGCTCGGAGAGCGTGGACCTGCCGGAGAACTTCAACTACCACATGGCCATCGCGCTGATTGTCTCCTGGTTCCTGGTCTACATCTGCATGGTCCAGGGCATCACGTCGTCGGGCAAGATCGTCTACATGACGGCCATCTTCCCCTACGTGGTGCTCATCATATTCTTCTTCCGGGGCATCACCCTCAAGGGGGCGGCCGACGGGGTGGCCCACCTGTTCACGCCGCGCTGGGAGACGCTCCTGGACCCCGTCGTCTGGCTGGAGGCCGGCACCCAGATCTTCTTCTCGCTGGGCCTGGCCTTCGGGGGCCTGATAGCCTTCAGCTCCTACAATCCGGCCAACAATAATTGCTACAGGGACGCGATACTCGTGTCGCTCACCAATTGCGGCACCTCTATGTTCGCCGGCGTGGTGGTATTCTCGGTCATCGGGTTCAAGGCCACGGCGACCTTCGACCGCTGCACCGAGGAGCGGAACGGGCTGATGGCCCAGAACAAGACGCACAACCTGCCCGTCTGCGATCTGCAAACGGAACTGGCCAATGTGAGTTTAACTTGATACCGCAAAATCTCAGAAATAACATGTGACCGCGAATTCTTTAGCACTTTTTGATAGAAAACATTTTATTAATGTCATAGATAAATTATGTATATTTGCATACATTTTTAGATATTCTTAAAATTAATTAAATTAGAAGAATGTTTAGATACTTTGTTTTCTTACTTTTATCTTTTGTAAGAGTAAAATATTTCCTATATCTCAGCAAATACGTGCGAAGGCGAATTATTAAGCACCTTTTGTTAAGATTGTAAAATAGTGCTCTATTACATTTCAATAAGGGAATTATTTTTCTATTATTGTATGCATTAATATTATTAAAATAATTGAGCAAAGAATTTTGTGATTTTTAAATATTTTGTTTTCTTAAATTTAGCCTTTGTATACATTGTATTTAAAAATATTTTATCTTAAGAATAAAACCAAGACAGCTTTCGATTTTGAACTACTTATTTTGATTTCTTTAATTGAGCTTTTGTAGAGCATGAAACCTTTTTGGTACCGTGAATTCTTCAGCACCTTTCGATAAGCTTTGTTATAATTCCATGAAAAAGAACTAACTTAAAAATTAACTTAATGTCAGAGAGGCATAATGAAATATTGTTTATATAAGAATATAGTTTTAAGAGATTTTTTAATATTTCTTTTCTTACCTTACCCTTTTCAGAGTGCTTCGGGCACAGGACTGGCCTTCATTATCTTCACGGAGGCGATCAACCAGTTTCCGGGGGCTCAACTCTGGGCCGTCCTCTTCTTCCTGATGCTCTTCACCCTGGGAATCGACTCGCAGTTCGGGACTCTGGAGGGCGTGGTCACCTCGCTGGTGGACATGAAGCTGTTTCCCAATCTGCCCAAGGAGTATATTGTGGGGGTGAGATATTACTAAGATGGTCTTAGGGGAAATATTTTCAAGAATTTATTTTATGAATATTTAAATATTTTGCCTTTTCCGCACAGGGCCTCTGCTTCTCCTGCTGCCTGATCTCCATGTGCTTTGCCAACGGAGCCGGCAGTTATATATTCCAGTTGATGGACAGCTTCGCCGGCAATTTCCCGCTGCTGATCATCGCGCTCTTCGAGTGCCTGTCGATCAGCTATATCTACGGGGTGCGCCGCTTCTCGGACGACATAGAGATGATGACCGGATCGCGGCCGAGCTTCTACTGGATGTTCTGCTGGAAGTACCTGTCGCCCTGTGCGATGGTCACCATCCTGCTGGCCTCCTTCTACCAGCTGCTGACCGAGGGCAGCAGCTACCCGGCCTGGATCGGGGCCAAGGGGGCCTCCGAGTCGATGGAGTGGCCCCACTGGTGCATCGTGGTGGCCTTCTTCCTCATCCTCTCCTCCATCCTGTGGATCCCGATTGTGGCGGTGTTGCGGTGGGATATTTACAACTTATATGTATTTCTTAAGACTACAATTCCTTTTCTGCAGTCTCTGTGGCATCAAGGTGGTGGAGGACTCGGATCCCGCCTGGTTCCCCGAGGCGGAACTCAGGGAGGTCCACGGCATCGTGCCCCACGAACCAACCGAATTGGAGCGCAGCATTTTCTGCTTCAACATGGACGGAACGGAGGGCATGTGCTGCCCCAAGTACGGACTTCCCGAAAAGTCCCTCGAAGAGGAGGAGTAGAGCCCCAAAATAACCCCGAAAAAATGGAAAACAGCAAAAAACGACAATAAATCAAAGGAAATAGAAACGGCCAAAATGAATCTCGATGTAAATATGGACAATAACTAAGCATAACTCACCGATGTTAGGCGGCGTCGATATGAAAACACTCCTATATGGTCCCAAAGACTGTTCAAAGATAGCAAACCGAAAGGAAAACCAAAATAATAATGCAAAGCAACCACAACAAGGAAAATAGGAAAATAGCAATACTAGGTAAAAACTCGACGCTGGATGCGCGGTTTCATTCAAGCAGAAAGCTATAGAGAAGCATTAAAAAAAAAAAAAAAAAAACAGAGGCCGAAATCAATGGAAATATTTCCGCATAATTTCATTAGCATGTGGCCATATATATATATGTACACCTATATATACACTTACGCGATTATCATTTTCCATTGCCTTTTCTCTCTTGGGTTTCTTTTCTTTCTCGAAAAAGGGCAGAGAGAGTGTAGAGTTGTTATATGGCCACCCTTATAGGGTCTACATATCCGATTTCGCTATCATACAAAGAGAAACCACAACTTGCTGACTATATACGATATATACGATAACTATATACGATAACTACGCTGTATTCTAGACTTAACTGTTTAATTTGACCATATCATGCGAGCATGGGGCACCACCTATAAGAGATATATAACTATATAGTAACTATACCTACCACAGTTCATTCTCTGTTGTGATCAGCTCGGCTTTCTGTGTTTACCGTTGTTTATCGAGGATAATGTTGCTCGTGCAGGCGAAATCGAAATCGTAATCACGATCACGATATCATATCACATCCGAAACTATGCTTAATAGACACAACTTTAACGTCTCAGTGTTATAGAGAAATATGGAGGAGGGAAGAAGATATATTGGAAATGCGTTATGTTTTGCTCTAATCGAAAGTTATACGATTCAAATTACTTGTTGATAACCGATGATCATGGCACTCCGCACCGCCACTCCACTCCACTCCATTGTACTTATGATCTATATAGGGGGTATATCTGTAGTTATATATTTACATTAAAATTAAAATTAAAACATTAACAAAACGCAAACGCAACCGTTCAAATAGGTGGAAAAGAAACTCTATATAGATATACATATACATAACTGGAGAAGGCAGCTTAAGGTTTATCGACCCACGATATCATCGCATTGAAGAACTATAATTATACAAAAATTAACGAATATATATACATATATTTATGTGTGTTGAAATGCAGCTAATGGGTGTGTGAATTCGTTTTAAAACGAAACGACATTGGGTTTACTTTTTCAAAAAACATGGTCATCAAGTAGTGACCATTTTTAAAACGAGCAGAAGGCAGAAAGAACTCTTTAAGACCAGTTCACTCACCCAAATAGCCATTAATTTCACTGTATTATAAATTCGGCATTTCTTTATGGTATATTTATACATATACATCGATATATTATATACATCTATTTAGAAAGAACGGAAAAACGATATATTATACATGTATTAAGTGTTATTGATGTTGACAATAAAGAAACCCCTACGAAACGAGTTTTAAACCAAAACGAAACAGATGAGATATATAGACAACCTTCTACTACCCGAAACGAACACGTACACAACCCACAGTTGCAGAAATCCAAAAATCCAAATGGAGTATGATAAAAAGATATTTACGGCAAAGCAATAATTATATAAATACCCGAAGAGATTCGATTATTATTACCGTATTCTTGTCATTATTTTGCTCGCCTCAAGGGTCTCGTAATTGATGTAAAATTCACTCATTCGTACTGAACACATGAAATGATGATAAAGATAATACCACGTATCATAATTTACTAATGTTAAATTCGCAACTGATAAATAATAATAACAAAAATTCCAACTAAATGACAATAAACAATATAAAACTTAAGCTCAAATGGTATTTCAATTGGAAGCATTAAATGTGGGCTGTATTATATGGTTTTCTATTTCTTGATGTCTGAGCTTTTTATTGCGATTACGTTTGCTGTTTTTACTGATATTCTTTTAATTTCATTTAACGTTTTAATTATCTTAAGGCTCCCTTATAAGTCCAGAACTGCCAACCACTTATAAGCTTCCTTAAAACTTCTCCAAATTCAGTGAAGCTTGGATAGTTTCTTAGAAGTAAGTAACTGTGGATAGTATACACAAAAAAAACGTGATGTTAAGTTCTAAAACGGAGTAAAGTCAAAAATTTGAGTAAAACTCTTATTACGAATATTATATATAAATACAAATTTATAATATATTTATATAAAAATAAATATGTTAGAAATTTTTATTATCAACATTTTTTTTTTTTTTTTTAATTTGGTAAAATTTGTATAATCAACTTTAAAAAAATATTGAAAAGAGAAAAAAATATTTAAAAACCGAAGGACAAAAAATGAAAACATTTGTTAACATAAAAAAATACGCAAAATATTTAAATTTGACAAAAGGAAAATTATTCAATATTTTTCTCTAAGTGCACCTGTGTGTGTGCGCATGTGCAACGGTAATCTGCATTGGGCAACGCCTGCAGCAGCCCTTGTGATTCCAGCGGAGCGCAACAGGCGGAAACAAACTGGCCAAGTGACCGGCCACCGAGCTGGGCGGTACGAGCGGTCCACGGGGGGCGGTATATACATATAGTCGTCATCGTCGGACGTCTCACTGCATCGAATTAGCGGTAAATTACAAGCTGCAATGCAACAAGTTGCATGTTGCTGCTGCACTCGTACTTTCTGCATACTGCAAGTGCAGCTTTACATTCCGCTGATTGCACACACAAATTCGAGGCGTCTTTCTTTCGGCTTCTTCTTTTCCTTTGCATAAACACTTTGGTATTAATTATAATTAAAAGCAGAAATCCATCGGCAATTGTTCAGCCAACGGAGCCGCTTGGAGGAAAGTTATTGTGTGTCTTTATATTTATAAGCGGAAATTTCGGTTTCGTATTATGAGGTGACACCAGAAGTCGCGATGAAAAGGTGCTGAAGACACCATTAAGATATGCTAATTTGTGTATACTTATTTTTTAATTGTATATATAATTTTTAACACAGTGTAAACTATGAAAATAAACATATTTATTCCACATATTATATAAGAGTATTTTTTAAGGGAAATTTACAAATTTTTAAACTTTTTTTTAAAAGCAACAAAAATATATTGTTGATACAAAATAAAATTTCATTCCATAAATCTTAAGCTGAAATAATTCAGTACCCCCTGCAAGGGATAGCAAATCACAGGTAACAATGCACTCGACTTTGTTAGATGAAAAGCCAAGAAAGAGAGCCAAAGAAACAGAGATGGGGATAGCAGCACAGATAAAGATAGATAGATATGCATAGTTAAAAAATGAAATAGCAAAACCAAAAAAAAGTAATGCAGCCGCAGCCAGAAAAAAACCAAAGACGTTTATGCGACCGCCAGTGGCATGCACAGTGGGCCGAAAGGCGTGGGAAGTGGAAAGCGACTAGGTCAAAATGCTATAATTAAAAACACTAAGTAATTGGCAATGAAAAACTGGGCCCACTCTGATTTTTGTAGTCAACGCGAAATATTAAGCTTCAAAGCTTTCGAGGGTAAATACTTTATTTAAGATTCTTTCTAAAACTGCTTGCTTTTAGTTTTTAGTTAAATGGTTTTGTTATAATCTTAATAAAATATATTTACCATTGCTGAAAACTAAGCATACCAGTAGTTTCCCTATAACATTTATAGGGCTTTAAGAATTTTCTAAAAGTTGTATAGAAAAAAATCTAGTTAATTTTATTTTTATTTTAATTTAAAATTCCAAGAAGTTCTTAAGGATACACCAATTATTGGCATAAAAACGTAGTGAAATCGAAAAGGATAAAATTCAACTTTTATTTTTACTAGAAAAGTGCTATAAAAACATTTGTTTAACATAGACTGTCGGGCTTTTAAAGCGTTTCCTAACTGATATTTGCTTTATCCATATTTCTCGGTTCGAACCCGAACAATTTTACCCGTGAGTTGTTTTGATTGCCAGCGGAATCGGAATTCCTGCTCTAGAGTTGAAGTCTCAATCGGCGGCATCGTCGCACCTGAGCCCCTAAAAACTGGAAAACCAGTTTGAGGCCTTGCCACATTCCATCCAGCGAACTGCACTGCCCACTGTGCCCCGCGCTCTGTTCGATGTTCCACTGTGCGGCAGCTGCGGCAGCAAACAATTAACTTTGGCAACAAACGAGTACTGCGCCACCAGCAACACCAACAACACTAACAACACCAGCAACAATAACAATAATAAAAGCGGCGGACAAGTGCCGACGTCGACGCCGACCGAGGCAGCGACTGCGACAGAGGCAGCGACGTTGACGGCGGCTGCGCATGCGCACGTAAACAAATTCTCAACGCCGCATTTTTGTTGTACTCTTCTAATGGCTATTAATATTTTTTTAAGAATCCTGTAACATAAACTATTAAAAATATTTTCCAATTGTAAACTCGAAAAAAACAATTAATGTTTGATATGTTAGTATTTATTTAAAACTATAAAATATTATAGTATTGAAAATAAAGAGATGAAAGAAAAAAGAGGTTTGAAAAGAAAAGTTTTTTTATTGGTAAATATGTTGTATTTATTATTAAAATATATTTATTATATAATAGAAATCTAAATAAATTAGAATACCTCTAGTATTATAATTGTATCCATAACAATTAGGAAAGAAAAACATCTCCAACATGAGTAAATAAACACATTTTAAATAAATCAGCACTTAAATCGATGTCAATTGACATTTGTTAGTGTAACTAAGTCTTCGCCTTGCGAAAGTGCAGCTCTCTTGTTTTTGTTTCAGGTAATTTCTGCGGCTGCTGCTTTTTTGTGGGTTTCTTGAAAGCAAAAATTAAAAAACCACAACAACTGGCTTGAGACAGAGACGGCGAATGGGCGGCAGAAAGAGAGGGCGCTACGTGGAGAAGAAGAAGTAAAAAACAATCCCTGGCGAAACACGCCAACCCAAAGCGACTTTGTTGCTGCGGTTTTCAGTTGCCAGCGCGATTTTGAATGGGTTGTACGCGCGGCGAGTACTCGAAAATATTTCCAAACCAATAGAGATATCATATCTCGAAAATTCGAAGAAATATAAAAAGATTGTTAAAACAGAAGAGCCAGAAAGGCCGAAGAAAAAACAGTCAGCGTGCGTGTGCAATATATGGAAAATATACCCCAATAAAAAAATATCTTAAAGTGCAAAACTGTTTTTCCGAATTTTCTGATTTTTGTTTTATTTTTTTCAATGTGTGTGTGTGCTACGCTGCCAAATGAAATTTGTGTGCAATAAGCGGCGAATGCAGGCCAGCAGCAGCAACAACAACAACAGCCTCAACAACAACGGGTAAGTGCCGCTCAAATATTTCCAAACAACAAAAAAAAAACAGAGAAATACCAGGTTCAAGTGTAACCAGTTTCCAGATTCCAGCAAGAAAAAAAATCTGAAGAAACCGAAAAAAATGCCGCGGGCAGAGCGCGCCCAATATTTCAAGTTCCCCAGCCATTCAAATGTAAATCCCGACTTGTTCTTTACCCCGAAGAACATTCCCTGACAAAAATAAGAAGTTGCTACACTAATTGATCTGGCTTGACCCACTGTCGGTACAATGGGTGTCACAAAAACAGAATTCATTGGATATTTACCAAGAACAAGAATGAAGTAAAAAATATGCTCGGTTTCGCACCTGTTATTTGTGAAATTTAATACGTTATAAACATTTGGTTTATAGAGATTTTTCGGAATTTACTTAACCGATTTCATGTTACTTAATAAAAACCTATCTAAGCATTAAACATTTCTACATAAGATTGAAATTTAATCTTTCACATTTGTGAAAATAAAAATGTAAAGCTTTTAGCAAATTATTGACAATTAAATATACAAGTAATTTTTACAATTTAAATTATTTATTATTTTTATTTAATGAGAATTTATGTAATTACAAATCAGAACGTTTAATTGGACTAATAAATAGAATTCATATAAAAAATGGCCAAAAAATAAAATGTCCTGGTTTAAATGCCAATCGATTGAAAATTTAATAACGAGTTCAGAAAGGTATAACAATCCATATTTGGATCTATATTTCCATTGTTTCGGCCAAAAAACAATTTTTTGCGTGGAAAGTTCAGTTTCTGGGTTTTTGGTAAAAATAGGCATTTTTCCTTAATGTTTTCTTGCTGTAACTGTGAAGAATTCATATTTTTATTCATTTAATTAATATTTTATTTTTGCTTAACGGTTATTTTCTTGTGTTTATCTAAGCTATTTAATCTTAATAACTTAAAATCTTAAACTTCATTCACTATTCAACCAATCCAATAGTAGTTTCCAGTTGGATAATAACAATAAATAGAAAGTTCCTGTCGCAGGAAATCAAATGCCGCCAGGTGACGACACCTTCAACAGAACTCAGGGTATTCAGGGTCTCCCTTTTGTTTATGGCATTCTTCTGCCTGTTCTGTCTGCTTTTTGCGGTTTCGTGTTTATCATTATTATGATTATTGTTTTTTCTGGTTTCCCAGCTGCTTTTTTGTTGTTGTTTTATTTTTTTGTACGCTGGCAAAGCTTTTAACATTTATTCGGCATCATCTTCGGCTTAAATGTCAAGCTCGTGTGGCGGCTTACACACTCGAAAAATATGACCCTAGAATTAATTAAAGCTATTTAAAAATATTTTCAGAGGTATTAGTAGGCTTTGCAGTTTCTGAAATGTGCACTGATTTCTAAGTCAGTTTTTCTAGAAATAAAATAAAATCGAAAAAATGTTTTTGGAATATCAAATTTTGGAATTGTAGTCTTAAATTTTTGTCACTGCCTTTCTAACGCAATTCTTGTTTGCTTCTTCTTCCTTGCAGCAGCAACAGCAGCAACTGCAACAGCAACAGCAATTGCAGCAATCTACATGCGGTCGTCTAACTGTAAAGCACTTGGCAACGGTCAGCAGTCAGCAGTCGGCAGGAAAATCAGCAACAAGTGGAACGCACAGCAGCAACATCATTAGCCGGCACTCGATTGCATCAACTTGGAGCCATAAGATATAAGATATAGGCATTTGTTATCTGAAATCGGATATAGACAGCCAAATGCTGTAGAACCATGGCGGCAATCACCAGCAATGTGTCGCGAATGGAGCCAATGCGCGGTATTTCCATAATCATTGAATCGCCAGAAGTGGCAACAGCAACAGCAGCAGCAGCAGCAACAGCAACACAAGTAGCAGCAACTGCCAAGAGCAACAGCAACACTGAAATGTCGCTCAAGTCCCAGGCTGGCATGTTGCTGGCATTTGGCGACACAGCAGCAGCAGCAACCAAAGATAATTTGGAAACTAGTTACGACACAGCAGCAACATCGGCAACAGCAACAGCAACACCAGCGACCACCAAAATCTATCCACAATTGCTGCTGCGCATTGGCGGAGAAATTGCCGGTGCAGCAGCAACAGCAACAGCAACAACAGTCACACCAACAGCAGCAGCAACATCTCCGACCATAATCAGTTGCAATGGTGAAATTGCTGCCAGTCAGCCAGCAGCAACGGCAGCGGACACAGCAGCAACATTGCAACACAGCAGCAGCAGCAGCGTGAATACAGTGAAGATTCAGATCGAGAGCCAGGGTCAACCGATTACCCAGCGGATTCTGGGCAAGCAGATCAGTGTGGTGAAGCTGAACGAGGGCCTGGAGGAGATGCAGTGGACACCGGTGGCCACCAGTGGTCAGTACTCGCCGTGCGAGACGCTGGACAGTGGCACGGGCAGCGATTTGGAAGGTCACCAAGTGAGGTCACCGCAGCACTTGGAGCTCCATCTGCAGACCACGCGGCTGAAGGTCAAGGAGGGGGAGGACGACCCCCTGGTGACCCCGAACCCGAGCCCGAACCCCAAACCGACTCCCAAACCGCTTACGATTCCCATTCCCCAGCGGGCCTACAGCCTCACCGACGACAGCGAGGAGTGCGATGAGAGCAGCAACTCCTCGCTGAGCTGCGACTCCCTGCACTCCGGCGGCCTTCTGCCCACCACCCTCCTCCGGGACATCCGGCTAAGGGAGCGGGAGAGGGAGCGGGACAGGGAGGCGGGCCCCCTGGTCACCAAGATCGATGGCAGACCGCTGCAATACGAGGCGGACGGGTACTACACCTTCCACGTGCACGAGCACGAGAATTTCAGGAGCTTCGGAGCCTCCAGTTCAGCATCCTCGGCGGAGTACGAGACATCGCCGGGTTTTTCCGAGGAGCCGCAGGACGAGGACTTCGCCGGCTACCGGGATGTGCGGACCGAGGGCAAGCTCTCGGCCAACTCAACCATCAGATCCGCCAAGGGAACGGTGAGGGGCGTCAAGAATCGTGTGCGCAATGGAGTAGCCACCTTCTTGCAGCTGCAACAGCCCAATGTCAAGGTGAGTTCGTACGGAAAGTACTCAATATAAATAAGATATTCACTTGATTAACAAGAAAAGCCTCTTTAACAATCAAAAGGCCATGGAAAAGTGCACTTTGTATTCAGCGAATGGGTGCATCGAGTGAATTCATTAATTGCTGCTGAATAATTTTATACATTTCTTTGTTAAATGAAAGATATTTCAGCAATGAAAGCGATTCAATTCACTAGCAATCGTAGATACACACGAAACAAATTCCTTATACAAACGAAACTATTACTACATGAATTCTGCACTATTGAGTGACAAATTGGCATCAATAAGATGAGTACTAAAGTAATAATTTCAAAATTATTAAATTTAATAATTGGTATAACATTTATACTACTGAGAATAGAATTTATATTATTTAGTATCAAATAAATACAACTTTTAGAGAGTTTATACCTTTGATTTTCGTAAAGTTCTGAAATAAACTTCCACGAATTTCGCTGTTTTTTCTTTTAATTGGACATATAAACACTTTAGAATGTGAGTTCTCAGAAGCCTTGACAACTGCAATTAGAGTTTCAGCCAAGTATTTCAAATTGAGTATGCTTAATCTAGTGATTATGTTTATAGCAGGTGCACTTTCAAAAAGTTAATGATTATGAAAAATATAAAAAATGTTAGGCTATATAACAAACTTTTTTTAAGAAAAATATTAAACAGAATAAACATATTTGTATAGGCATTTATACATAAATATTTAGGGAACTCCTTAAGTATCCCAAATATTTTAGGTATAACTTTAAAGAGCTCTTTAATTCTCAATGTTAATAATTAAATAGTTGAATCTAAATCCCAAAATTACTAAGAAAGTTTTAAGCAAGATTAAAAAATAGTTCAAGCTCTTTGTGAACTTTTGATTGTAAACAATTTCTTTAAATATACTTTTTATTAGTTCGCCTTTAATTGGCACATGGGAAATTCCACAAAGCGTAATTGAATACCACAAAATATTCAAACTATTATGTGGCTACTTTGAATATTCCGTTTGCCCAGATGATTCACACAGACACTCATTCAATCGCATGTGGGTGTTATTCATTGAGAAAGTTTTCGGTTTCGTTATGGGTTTCTATTTTATATTTTGTGTGTGTAACTTTTTAGTATTTGTTTTTTTTTTTTTTGTATTTAACTTTTGTCTTTGGGTCGCTGACTTTTGCACACCCACACTTGGGAATAAAAAGATACAGATGCAGCCGAAACTGAAGATACAGATGCAGTCAGACGGCATTATGCAATGCCAATCTATACATATATATATATATATATTTATACAGATATATTTATATTGCATGTGAGGGCTCGTTTGTTGGCCTGTGTGAAAGTGAATCCAGACTTTTCTGTGATTCATCTCTGCGTTTTTTTCTTGTGGGCCTTCATATTTTTTTATTTCATTATGATTACTCGCTTTTTTTGAGAAATTTCTTTCTCGAAAGACAATTAACACCTGACTGCCGCTGTCTATTTGCGGAACTTGTTGTTGTCTCGATTCGCCGTTAAGTGGCTTAATATGTCACATACGCCCTTCATCTCTATATGGGCACTTCCAAAAAAAAGTCCACCAAGCCAAAAACCTTGATACTTGAATAAAACATATTTTCACATGATTTTGCCCCGATATTAGTTTCTAATTAGTTGGATACTGAGCTTTACTACACATTTGGAGTATAGTTTGATTATTTTTATGACAAACCCCACCAATATACGCAAAAATCAGTTTTTGGCTATTTTTTTGTTATTTTTTGGACCTGTCTTCTTTTGTTAATTTATCCTATAGGAATGCTAATATGTGACATTTTTCTGTACTGAATGCTTCATTCACATACTAAACTATTAAGTTAAAAGCAAAACATCCAGCAATTGAGAGATAGAGGTAAAGAAATCCGCTTTACAAAACAGTCGGAAAAAATGTCCCGAGCGACATGTCCCGAGCGAATGTGGTTGAAACGGCAAAAAAAAAAAAAACGGCAAGAATTTTTGAGTAAAACCAAAAGCATTTCACAGCGACATGTTTGAACAACATTCTAAAAAAAATCGCATTGAAATATTCCATCAGAATTCGCTAATTTCTGGTGTTGTATGAACTTCCCCGAAATCCACTTCTATTTTTGTCCCGAGCGAATACGGCAGTTTTTTACCGATATCTTAAAAACTAAAAGTGGTACAAAATCAAGATTTTTACCAAAAATAGAGCTTGGGAAGAGTGAAAAGAAAAGCCCATAATTAAAATTAAAATCCATTGTTTTACAATTTTTTTTCAACTTTAAAGGTGTGCAAATGTCCCGAGCGACATTTTGGAAGTGCCCATATGGATACAAGTCCAAATCCGAAAGAAAGAAAGCTGAAGAGCTGGCGGAAGTACGAAGCAGATAGTCAGATAGCCAGATAGTCGGCTAGATAAGTTAGATAAATGCCGGCTTAAATGGTCCGCCACTTGACTAATTGCAAGTGTCTTTTTGTCTTATTGTCTCTCTCCTACTTTTGATTTCTGTTTTCTCTTTTGGGAAAGTTCTCTTCTTTCAAAAACCAAAAAACCAAAAAGATACGAAAAAAACGAAATTAATTGACCTATTTTTTGGTGGGGGGAGCGCGTCGAATCGCAGCTTTAAGTTTTTATTGAGCCCGAATTGGCCACGCTCGCACCTCCGAAATACCCTCGATTTTTGCCCTGTCATCAGGTTGATCTAGGCTATTGAATATCGGATTTTTTTCTCCCATTTTAGACGCCCTTTTTTTGTGATTTTGCGAAATCAATTTACCAGACTGGGGGTATCGAATTAACCCTGGAAATTGGGCAATATATTTACAACAATCTAATATTCGTGTCCGATCTGATTGTCCAAGTGCCATGGCATTAGTTTTGATTTGAAGCAGCAGCTCTATAAAATTGTTATTATTATTTTTATAAAGAACATACAACCATAGTACAAGTACATTTTTTTTTAAATACCAATAAATGTATATATTAATTAAGTATGTTGCCTGATTTCATGATTAAAAAAATGTATTTAAATTATTTAATTATTTTTGTATTCCTTAACTTCGAGCTACATTTATGTTACGTTACAACTGAAACCTATATTTACTCAATCAGAGCTACTAAAAATCCAAAACAGCTTTCAACAACCTTCGCGAATTCATTTAAAATTCGATAAGTATATCATAGGGCTGTCATCTTCGATGACCCCTGAAATTCATTAATTTTTCATCCGCGATTCAATCAAAAGTTTTACTGCCTCATCAAATTAAATGTCAACTTCTTGGACGACTCACAGATTTTTTTGTCTTGTCTTGTGTTTTTTTTTTTCAGTCATTCAGTCAAATTAGCAAAGCCAACCTTGAAACCAAAATCAATATATAATTATTGCCAAAAAACGGAAAAAACGAAAGAAACCAAATTATTTGGCTTAAAACAGCTTGCATAATTTTTCAAGAAACACACAAATTATCATAATAAAGAGCGACTAATGCGTTAATTATGCAACAACAACAACAAAAATCGGATATACTGAGCAGACAGATCGAATTATATTTTATGGGCCGCAGCAGTCGATTCCTTTGGCTTTTGTTTCAGAGACGAGTTTTTATTTTTCGCGTTTGGAGTGGTGTCATTAAAATATCATTTAGCTAATTTGAGTTTAAGCACGGGCATATACGTACGTACATTCGTGTCTTAGTTTGAGCACTAATAGGTATTGCCAGAAAACGAAAGTTTATCTCTGTGTGTAATGACCTGATGACAAGCCCACTTACACACAAAAGTCCCCTTCCAAACGATTCAAATTGAATGATTTTCCCTGAAATTGCCCTTGCAATTTACAACGAAACAGAAACAAAACCCTTCAACAGGTTGCTGTGTTGGCTCAAATAAATATTACCTCAAAATTGCCGACCTGTCCTTAACACTTATCATTCACTAGCAGTTCTCCTCCTCTCGCTCATCTTTTTTAATTGCTTATAAAACATTTTTTACTGCCCCCTATAAAACAAACGAATTTTGTGCAACTAAAGAAACAAAGAGGTAATTTCGGGTCACAAATGGTAAACATAAAAAAGCTGAGAAATAATACAAAAACAGAAATGATGATTTGATGAGCTGCTGGTAAAGATTATTTTTATGACAACAATCTGAAATTTGAGCTAGGAATTTGGAATTTTGAAATATTATTTTACTCAATTTATATTTTTAAATCTTCCTTTTTTTTTAAGAAAATTGTTTTTTCTTGGGAAAAATTACTGTTAAAAGAGCTCAGAAAAAATACATAAATAAAATCTAAGCGACAGACATAATGATTTAGGATTATTTTTATGATAGCAATCTGAAATTTGAGCTTAGGAATATTGAAATATTATTTTACTCCATTTTCCCAAATATTTATATTTTTAAATCTTTTTTTTTAACTGAAAAAAATGACTGTCTACCATACGTCTTCAAACGAAAGTGAAAATGAAAACGAAGTTGTACGTGACTGAGCTGCAGATTTGTGGCATTTTTGGGCGATCTTTTGCATTGTACGAGAGTACAATAAGTAAAGATACATTTCTGGGCAAACAATTAGGCAACAAAGGCTCCAGGGGCGTTAGCTGCATTTTAATTTCAATTTGCATTCAGGGCCAAAAGAAAGCCGCGAGAGCCGACGAAATGGGCTTATTAAAATATCCAATTATTGCCAAATTGAAGCTCGTTCAGGGCATGGCATAAAAATACAAAAAAATACCAAAGACTGAAAACTGAAAACAAAAAATCCAAAAACCAAACGAAACGAAACGAAAGTGAAATGTTTCCACTCCGCTCACGTACGTGTGTGAATTTATGCAAAAAGAAAGGGGCACTGGCGGGGTGGGGAAAACATATATATCGGGCTACAGCTGGGTGTGAGAACCGACTTGCAGACAGATCGCGGCGCTACCTTAACCGCAAAAAGTCGACAGCCCCACTTCAATACCAAAAAGCAAGTGCATACACACAGAAAATACAACCATTTAATAGGGATTCAATTTCAGTGAATATAAATACAATAATTTATTTAAGAAATCGTTAAACTATATTCTAGTCGAACTTAAATTTTAAAATATTTCCTTTAAAAAACTTGCAACATTCATTTTAAAAGAAATATGTTTTCAGGCTCTTAAATAGTTTTCTTTATTTTTCCATTATTTGGGCTTTAAATATTTAAAAAAATATTTATTAAAAGAAGCCATTAAAAGTATTTATCTTGGACTTTTCATCCTTTAATAATTATAAGGGCTTTGAAATAATTTATTAAAAATGGCAATTAAATTTAGCAAAAAGTTCATATAAAAATATAAAAATATTGTGTTAGGAAACTTGTGTATATAAAATGATATATTGGCACTTTACATTTGTTTCATCTTGGCATTTGCTTTACCCATAAAAATTCATTTTTAAAAATTAATTAAAATGGGCCAATAATATTTTTTTCTAAAGTTTTTTACCGAAAAATGATATCTTATAAAATAAAATAAAAATATCGAACGATCTTCATTATTTTCCCATACGTTTCGTACATATAAGAAACCCAATGGGCAGTCAAAATTCATTCCCATGATTATGTGGCGCTGACCGGAGAAATGGAATAAAAATAAAAATAAATATCCATCGATTGGCGTCGAGAAACGCACTTTCTGGCCGTCCGAAAGTCTGAAACAAAGGGTTATGTAACGCAGTGTGACGTATTAATTGAGTTTTTTTTTTGGTGGGCATATGGGCACATGGGCATAACTTTCGGGGCTCCTTGGACTTGAGGCCCCAGACCAAGATCAAAAGCTAGCGATTGCCAAAACCAAAAACCCCTCCTTGGCCGAACAACTGACCTGCTTTCTCTTTTGCAGCTCTTAAAAAACTGAAAACGGCTGAAGATGCTGATTTTTCAGTGCTTTTTGAGTGTTTTGGGTTCTGCAGAAGATGGCCAGATATTTGAGTTGTCATTTGGCCTGCGGTTCACAGTTCACAGCCTTGTTTGCATTCACATCTATAGTCGTGTTCTTTTTTTCCAGTATTCAGTGTATTTAATTTCAGACTTTTAAGTTATTTGGCCTGCGGTTCGCAGCCTCATTCATATTCATGCCCATCTCGTTGCTTATCTTTGTTTTTATTCTCATGAACATGTTCATTACATTCGATGGCTTTGAACTCTCGTCGGAGGAGCGACAAATGAGGCTTAATGGCAAATGGCAACTATTAATGTACCAGTTTACCAGCTTTACATTTGTTTACGTCTCTGACGAGCCGCGCGGCGTTATGTTTGGTTATTATATGCCATATATTAAATAACCGCCACCTGAGGCGATTTTGCGACTGGGATCCATTGGTGGCCACCTGATAAAGTGGATGGGGACTGGGCGACTGGGGATTCGACTCGGGCTTGCAGCTTATGCAAGTGCAATGCGCCGATGCAAGTCGAAACATATGCGAGTAGTCGACGCAAATGATACCCCTTGGTAGGTTTTGGGTGGTTTTTTCTTTTCTATTTTTCCTGAATTTAAAAAATACAGTTCCAGTAAAATTAAGAACTTAAGTTTTAAAACTAAAAATTAAGTTTTTAATTTTACTGCAATATAACTTGTGTTTTTAGTTTTAGCGAAATGTATCTGATTTTTACAAAATACAAATAATATTTTAAATACCTTTTTTTTTGCCTAGTTTGTATGTATATAATTTGAAATAATCAACGAATAAAGGTAAAAAACGAATAACCTTTTTAATATTATCAAAACTTTTAATTAGGCTGTAAAACCTATTTATTTATTTACAAATTACTTGGTATTTCCATATTTATTTATCTTTATTTTACATCCCCACTTTTTTCACCATCCTTTCCCTCTAAAAATTTCAAAACTTATCGATGTCGTTAATGAAATAAATAGCTTTCATTTGATTTTAATTACACACTCTTGTTGGTTAATGCAAACTAATTCCCTTGTGTGTGCGAAAAGCTTGAAAGGCGAGAGACACAATTAATTTGATACCATTTCTCAAGCCCAGATCACATTTCACCATCATAACTCTCCGGATAGTTGGTTGCCAGATGTCCTGCTCTATTAATTTATGTTTCTTATAACAATAAATCATGGCAAAATTTGACAACTCACTGAGGCAACGAGTCGCCTCGGGAAATTCGATCGAGTTTAAGGTATCGACTGTCTTCGCCGATGGAAATCTAGTTAATCAGGCTGACTAACGGAAGAGCCCCCGTAATCCCCTAGCCCCCAAAAACAAGTCCGCCGAATCGAGGAAAAATATTTCACATTTCGCATTGTGCAAAGTTTTCACTTCGGACATTCATTTGCCATTTACACAAATTGGCTATGCGTAATTTTCAATTGGATCCGTTGTGATTGCCGTATATCATGAGTGTGTGCTATGGATGGATAATAATGGATGGCACTGAGAGAACCCGAACCCGTCTGAGAGAATGCTCTGTTCCCGGCCTTAAGTGGGATGCGATCCGCTAATGAGACTGGCAAACTGGCTCGGTTTCGTTTAACAAGTATTTTTCGCTTGGCAATTAGCGGGCAATTTGTAACCACAACTCCTCCTCCTCCGTGTGGCCTAAGTGTTTCGGCCAAGGCTGTTACCATTTTCTCACTCCGTGGGGGGAAGGTTAAAAACAAAGGCAGATGGAGCTTTGGAGCAGATGGAGCAAGGCGAAGATGCCCTCGATTGCACTATGGGGAAAAAGTCCGTTTTTTTGGCATAAACGCAAAAAATAAAAGTTACTAATTTAAAAAACAAATATTTTATTTTAATAGTAAAACGGTTAAACTTATTAGAACAATTTAAAAAAAAATTTACGTGCCACCGATAATTTGTTGTAGCCTATCAAAGTCTATCGATTAACGTGCTCATCTCTAAGAAAAAAGCGCGCTAATTTTACTCCAAAGTTTCCCATCGTCGTGCAAAGTGTTCAGAGGGCGAAAAAATAAACAAAAATATGGAAAATTTACGTCAAGGTATGCTTAAATACTTCTCAAAACAAATTGTGTTGTAACTGTTTGCATTGTCCTGTTGTTTAATGTCTTGTGTATGTCTCTTTTAGCCTAAAACTAACAAAAGTTATTGTGTTCTGTTAAGCTTTAGTTAAGAATCTACGCCGATCGACGCAAGGTTGTAATATAAATGTATTAACAAAATGATAAAGAAACAGGTGTTATCATTGCTTTTTGCCCGTTTTTGCCCCTTTTTCAATAAATCACTGTTTAGCTGCATATGAATTCCGATGTTACAAACGATATTGAAAGTACGGAGGAAGACGAAGATGGTGAAATCAATTTCTTTGATTTGGATAGTGTTTATTTGGAAGCAGAACCTGAAGAAGAATGATTGAAGTTGGTGTCTAGGTATGGCAAACCCAATTTTTTAACTTTCTTGCTTGTTTCAGAGAGTTTCGATGGAGAATAATTAAATTTTATTTTATTAATATTATATCTTACATAAGTTATCTATATAAAAATGTTTTTTATTAATAAAAAAAATATTCTTACAAATTTTTAGGGGGTTGACCATAATGGGGAGGTGGTGGGTGGGTGGCTGTGGGTGGTGTTTTTACAACCGTAAGGTTTTTTCAAAAAATGGAAAAAACCGAAATTCTATTTGTGCATAAGAAGTATATATTATAATTTTCAAGGCCCTATCTTTAAAACTAGAGTTTATGCCAAAAATACGGAATTTTTCCCCATAGTGGATTGTTGAGTTGGCCAAGCTACAAGTTGGCTTAGTGTAACAAACATCTCATTTCGGGGTGTGAATCAGCGATCGAGTGCCAGATATCACACACACAGCTGGGGTCAAGACAATAGTCGCATTTGCATATTTGCAAACATAAGTCTAGCTCCTACTAGCTAGATTAAAAAATACTTTATTGGGATTACAAATTTACAAATATTTTCATTCGGATTATTTACGGTATTTTATACAGATTTAATTTTTAAAAATTAAACAAATATTAGGACAATTGTAGAAAAGAATCTATTTTTATTATTATTTCCATTTTAAGCGTTTCTTCTCGATTAGTTATATGTTAAATAATAAATTATAATATTTATAAGTATTATAAATACAAAATAAAATCTTCCAACTATATATAATACCCTAAATATTCTTACTTTTATAAAAAACCTTAAGATCTTTCTAAAAATAAGTTGCTCCCCCATTTAATTGCAGAACTACATGGAAAAGGACTTGGGCAAGGTGGTCCTGTACACCACCAGCATGGGAATCATCAGGGAAACGTATGCCAAGTGCGCCAATGTCAAGCAGATTCTGCGCACCCTGCTCATTAAGTTCGAGGAGCGCGATGTCTTCATGAGCGTGGAGTATCAGCAGGAGATGCGGGAACGGATGCACAATGAGACCATCCGGGTGCCACAGCTCTTCGTCGAGGGCCAGCATATCGGGGTAAAATATTGAAAGGAGTAATAATTTGATACAGAAGATAATGAAAAATTAATTAATACACAGGATGCCGACACTGTGGAGCGACTGAATGAGAGTGGCGAACTGCGACAGCTGCTGAAACCGTACAAAGTAAATATTTTAATTCGATACACAGTACTTTGCGAATTTTAAAAATATGTTTGTTTGCTTTAAACTCTATTAAAGTAAATTTCAATCGTTAAACTTATAAATATAAGACATTATAAAAATGTTATAAATATTTTTGTGTGCCTATTGTCTCTATTCCAATACAAAAAAAAGTTGATATATTTGTTGGTAAATATTTTAATTTACATAAGTATGTACCCCATTTCGGCATTCATTTAAATTTATTAAGCAAAATATTTCATTTTATTTTCGCTCCAAAGAAAACTTAATTAATCGATTGTTTGTTACTGTTTTACAGTCGATCGCTACTGCGTATACGTGCCAGACATGCGGCGGATATCGCCTGCTGCCGTGTCCTTCGTGCAGCGGATCCAAGAAGTCGGTGCACCGCAATCACTTCACGGCGGAGTTCGTGGCCCTGAAGTGCATGAATTGCGACGAAGTCGGGCTGGTCAAGTGCCCCAACTGCTGAGGAAAACGGGCCCACCACACCACCCCCGATTTTTCTATCTGTAGTGCTTTTTTTTGTATCTATATCGAAGAGATTTTTTTTTGCGCAATTCTTGTAGTCGCTTATTATTAACAGTTGTGATATTTGAGAGCAGTTTGAGCCGGAAACGAGTGGCCGAAGCGAAACGAAACGAAAGGGAACGAAACGGAAATGAAACACACACACACACACAAACACAAAAGGAAAAACCTAATCATATGTGAATTGATGAGATAACGAATAAAAAATAAACTACATTTTAAGAGTTCAACTTTTGTGGGTTTTTAAAGCATGCTTTTGGGCGAACACTGTTCGCTAATACTATTAGCAACAAATATTTTTTCACCTGTTGGTTTTCTAAAAATGTGATGCATATTTTCGGGCTTTTAATTATTTTGTCAGACAAAAGAGCTGAAGTTTTCAAACACCACTTAAACTGATTACTCCAGCAAATATTTCTGTACATTATCAGAATTATCTAGCATTTTAGATGAAATTATTTAATGATAATTCCATTTAAATACATATATTGGAAAATTCCAGAGCTCTTTAGAGATAAATAAATAATGCAGTATCTGCTAATTGAAAACTATTATGTTAAAGGTTTTTTAAGCTATTTATATGTGATTAAACTTATTTCAGATTAACAACCTAGCTCAGAGTATTTGAAAATAAAAACATTCAAAATAACTATTTTTAGTTTGCATAACATATAATACATAATATACTCTGTTTGGTAATAGTTATAACAAAAATCTAAATTTTTCAGAGACAGTATATTATAAATTGCAAATGTATTTCCTAACCCTTAAAGTATGCAACACATTACAAGACAAAAAGGGGAAGTCCCTCGCAGAAGAGAAGCAAACTCAATGTGACTGCCACAAGTAAAAGTATCAACACTATTAAATATCTAATAACTTGTAGATTTTGTTAGGAATGTATAAATATTATTAAAAAATAATAATAGTTTAGCTAAAAGAACAATTGTTTTGTTTTCACTCTACGAGGAATTTTTTTTAGTCTAAATTAAAATTGTATTCGATCAATTTTTTATACACAGAGTTGATTTTTTACCTTTTAATGACTTTTCATAGCCCATAAAATTGATCCAGATATTATTTTAAAAAAGGGTTATATTTTCCTCGATCACCTGACTCTTGCTCTTCAGCTCAGTCGTTTCTGTTGTGTTTCTAGTGTCGTAATAGTTTCAGTCATTATATTTCGTACCAAATTCGTTGTGTATGTTTTCTTTTCCGTCCTCGATTACTGCAAGAAATTCCAGGATTTGATGGGATCGCACCTGGAGGTGTTCTACCAGCCGGGTGATCAGGCCGAGGATTTCCAATCCCAGGCCGAAGATCTCCAGCTGGAAGATGCGGAGACGCAGCGCGGCAGTGGTGGATCGAATCGTCACGCCGAGGAGCGCTCCTGCTGGATTTGCTTCGCCGGCGAGGAGGACAACCGGCGGGCCAAGTGGGTGCAGCCTTGCCGCTGCCGGGGGGCCACCAAGTGGGTGCACCAGAGCTGCCTGTACCGGTGGATCGACGAGAAGCAGCGCGGCAACCACCGGCGCTCGGTGAGCTGCGCCCAATGCCAGACGGAGTACATCATCGTCTTTCCGCGGATGAATCTCCTGGCCGGTGCACTGGAGTTCCTGGACCTGGCGGTGCGCAGGACGTGTCCCTATGTGGCGGCCGGTATGTTCATGTGCTGTGTCTACTGGACGGCCATCACGTATGGCGCCATTACCGTCATCCAGGTGCTGGGCCAGAAACGCGGCCTGGAGCTCATGGAGAACGAGGTCTTTCTGCTGGTGGGCCTGCCCTTCATTCCGGTGGGTTTGGTCCTCTCGCGCCTCGTTCGCTGGGAGGATGCCGTCCTGAAGGCGATGCGCAGCCGGTACAACATCCTGCGCAAGCTGCCCTTCTTCCACTGGGCCGGGGAACCGGAACTGGGGGGTGGGAGTGGACTCAGCGACAGTTCGAGCAGCCTGCCACCCCTCCAAAATTCGCCGGCCATGACCGAACCCCTCTACATCTCGCGGCTCTTCTGCGGCGCCGTCTTCCTGCCCACCGTGGCCACGGCGATGGGTAATGTGTTCTTCGCCAGCCTCGACGATCCCCTGCAGCGCACCCTCCTGGGTGGATTTACGTACATCGGGGTGAAGGGTCTGCTGAAGATCTATCTGCGGCAGAAGCTCTATGTCCGCCGGCGGCGCCGTCGCATTGTGAACTATACGGATGAGAATGTGAGGATTTATATGGGTGGCCAGATTCGGGAGGCACCGCCCCAGGGTGCCCAGAATCCCCAGAATTTCCAGAATCCTAATGCCAGGCAATTTGCCGGGAACGATGAGCACTACGAGGACAGCTCCAGTGCGGTCACCACGGACTCCGAGGGTGGTGACCCCGACAGGGAGCACATTCAGGGCGTACTGCACACGGCAGATCCACCACTGGATTAGTCATATATGTATCATTGAAAATAGATTGCAATCCGTGAACCAGAGAATTGTATACCTTAACCAGAGGTAATATAATAAAATAATAAAAGCGGCTAGAGATATGTATAAATACTTTCATCTGGGAAAGCTTTTATAAATAAGAATTTGAAAAAAAGGGTTAGTATCGATAGCGAACCAATGATAATATCAATGGTTTAAAAAATTAAGAATATATGTATCAGGTAAATAATTTATTTTTGCATGCGACTTTTAGGATATTTGTAAATCGATATTCAATGACATATTTTTAATTGTTCTTGGCTTTAGTATTTTGTTGTCAATTTTTGCTAAATTCTTATAGCATCGATAATATTGATAGAGGCCACAATCCTTATCTAAAGACTGGTATATATCTTTATATTTTCAGGTCTTTATACTATAAATTCTACTTAAAAGTTAAAAGGACTCTTTATTAAAATAAAATATAGACCAAAGAGTGAATTATTCGGGAACTTCTCGCTTCCAGCAGGGAGCCATCTTTGTGTAGAAGGACGGCGTGGGACAATTGCGAATGCGAAAAGGACGAGGCTTGATGTCGATGCAACAGCGGTACGGGATCCTGTGCTTATTCGGCACCAACTTCAGGTCGTCCATAAACTGCTGGCCATGCGAATGGAGGCGGTGCAGGAATCGCTTGAAGCTCTCGAAGGTCAGTTCGCGATAGCGCGAACATCTCGAGTCATGATGGTGCGGCACACCAACGCAGAAGGTGTAAAATCGTTCGGCAACCCTTTTGTGTCTGAACGGCTCCAAAATATCCTTAATTTCGTCACCCTCATGGGTCTTTCTATTTCTGAACGCCATGAGGGCAGTAATGTATTGGGTGCCCTCCCAAATCAAGTCTTTCACCTGTAATAATATTATTAATAAGTACTACAAATTAAACAGAACATAAGTTATGTCGGCTTTATGTTAAGTATAAATTTACCTTTGAATACAAAGGATTCAGCGGGCTCACATAAACTTTTAAAAAGCTATTTTTTAAGCCTCTGTTAAAATTAACATTAAAACGAGAATTTTTCAGCGTTCAGTGTTCTTAAAATACCTATTATTAAATAGCGAATTTTTATATTGCAATGTTCTTTGGGTAAAACTTTTCTGAAAAGTTCCTCTTTAAATTAAAGCGGAACCGCAAATTCTTTAGGTTCAAGTGATAATAAAAGCTCTATATTTTTATACCCGTTACTCGTAGAGTAAAAGGGTATATTAGATTCGTGCAAAAGTATGTAACAGGTAGAAGGAAGCGTTTCCGACCCCATAAAGTATATATATTCTTGATCAGGGTCACTAGCCGAGTCGATCTAGCCATGTCCGTCTGTCCGTCTGTCTGTCCGTCTGTCTGTCTGTCTGTCTGTCTGTATGAACGCTGAGATCTCGGAAACTATAAAAGCTAGAAGATTGACATTTTGCATGCAGATTCTAGGAGTTCCTACGCAGCGCAAGTTTGTTTCAAAAGGGTGCCACGCCCCCTCTAACGCCCACAATCGCTAATATACGATTTTAAAAATTTCAATATTTTGGAAAATTAAAAATGCTGTGTTATTGTGTTTATCAATACCTATCGAAATGTAGAAGAAATTTTTTAAATCGGACCATTCGTTAAAAAGTTACGGCGGACCAAAGTTTTTCTCCATCTCCTTCGCACTCCCTTTAGCTGAGTAACGGGTATCTGATAGTCGGGGCACCCGACTATAGCGTTCTCTCTTGTTTCGGATTAACATGTTCTTATAAGATTTTCTCGCGAATTATTTAGCTTCAAATGTTCACAGAAACACGAATTCTTCAGATTTCAATTTTTTTTAGAAAAACCCTTTTATAGTTAACTACAATGCAACCGCGAATTCATCAGCTCTTTGGTAATGAGTGATTTTTTAAAAGCCCCTCTAGCATACTCACCTCTTGCAGCTTGGCAATCTCGCTGATGCGATTGCTTTCCGCGATGTTGGTGATGGATCGTCGCAACCAGGGTGACACCAGGGCGAACCGGACTTGGCTCATCACCCCAACCGCGTGCTTCTTGCGTTCCGCCCAGGCGAAGTCCAGCCAATAGAAGGCGGCAAAGAAGACTTCGTCCTCGCTATTGACGCACAGCATGTCCTGGGAGAGCAGGCAGGCCACCTCGTTGGCATCCATCTCGAGGAACTCGCGGGAGGCCACCACGGGCAGGAAGGCCTTGCGCACGCGGCCCAGCATCACGGTCATGATCTCCGGGCAGCGGTACTCGCGGGCCATCAGGAAGGTGTGAAAGGCGTTCAGCTCCCAGCAGGTGCGGTCGCCGCGCCGCGAGAATGTGCCCCAGTACTGCCCCATCAGCCTCTGCACCCCGAGGAACTTGGCCGCCGCGAAGAAGGGTATCAGCTCGTTGCCAATGGGAAAGCTCTCGTCCTCGCATCCCAGCATCCATTCGTAGATGCGGACCAGCAGGCGCATCGGCACCTTCTCCGCGGGGATCTGCAGAAAGGAATTCGAGCAGCCGCGGAAATTGCGGGCAAAGTAGGTGAACAGCTGGCGGTCCACGTAGTAGAACCTCGACTCAATCTGGATCTCCAGGTCGTCGTGCCAGCAGTTCCTGATCGTCTCCGATAGGACATCACAGTTGGCTAAGGGAAATCACTTTTTTTAGGGATTTTTCAATCGTAATGTTAAATTAAAAAAAAGTGAAATAACTTTAAAAAAAGTGAAAAGTGAAATAGCTAATAAAAAAAAGTGAAATATTTATTCTTTTGTATCGACTATAATCTATGATATAGTAGATAAAATAAATAATCTTCCATTTTGTTCCGTATTTTCATGTTTTTAAGTATTGTGATTAGAAAAAGAGTTTTATGAACTTAATTGTTAAAAGTATCATTAATCTAATGTTATGTGCTTATCTTTAAAATCTTCTTATCTTTTGAAATGATCTATTAAAAGCTATAGGTTAAAATGGGAGGTAATGAAACTTACTCAACTTGCGATCTGCTTTGTTACAGATGATCTCGGCACTGGATAATTTCAGACTTCGATCGTCTAGACTTTCCGGCTTAAAAACAACCTCAAAATCACGGGCGGTGAACCTTTTGGTGGCCCCTTTGGTGACCTCTTTGGGGACCTCTTTGGTGACCCCATCGGTGACCCCGTCGGTAACACCGGTTTCCAAAACAGGAGGTACAGGACTCGGAACTTCGGGATTTTCCTCGGATTTCTCAATAGCAGTTGTGGCCTCTGGCTGTGCAACCTCCGCTTTTTCCTCCTTTTTGGTCAGAAACTCCTCAATACTCAGGGCTTGGCCCGCAGTTCGAAGACGTCTTTGCCGCGAAATCGTTAAAATATCTGCGAAATCGGGACTCCGGCGATTCTTAATCAATACCGGTGGCGGAGGACACGGCCCTATATCGCCGCAGACCGATTTGACAGCCGCAGCGCCACTTTCGTCCAGAACTTCGAGTTTGGAGCTATTCGAAACGGGCGAGTTCAACTGGGGATCGGCGACCTTCAGCAGGGGACGCGTCACGGGAGGCGGAACATTCTGCTTGTTTATATATTGGTTCCAGAACCAACTCGGTGTCAACAATTTGCTGGGATCCTCCAGCAGATTCGGTTTCTTCTCGACCACTTTTAACGCTTTGGTCTTTTTTGCCTTTTTTTCTAATTTTTTACCTCGATTTTTTTTTGTCTCAATGACATACATGATTTTTTTTTCGAAAATTACAACAAATTATTGGACACAGTAAAATATTAGAAATGTACTAATCTAGTTGACGAATGGAATGGAAATGATAATGGGAATGGAGTGTCATTCCAAGGCCAACTTTCATATATTTTTGATACGCATGATTTTTATTATAAATAAATTTATAAAAAATACTTTTACTTAGAAAATCTTAAAAACCCTTTACATATATAACATTTACACGACGGCTGGACATTTATTCTTGATAAATTATTAAATGTGCACATTTTTCACGGAAAAGGATCCAGTTTTTGGATTATCTCGCAGCAGGCGTTGACATTAACTTTCTGCTCTCTCGATTTGTCAGTGCTTTGTGTGGAGCATTATCACACAGCTCGTTCAACGTTTCGGTCGACACATTCTCAAGTCAAACTGAGGCACTCTACTCGTAAAACCAGAACAAATTCAAATTGTAAATTTTATCCTATCCCCTCTTAATAAGTTTTGCGTTCTCTTTCGACTAAAAAACCGTTAAAATACCACAAATAAACCGAGGGCCGGAGCGAGAAAGCATTTTCTAACCTGCTTGCAAAGCAGCCAAGCACAAAAGTGAGTAGGCAAAAACAAAACGTGATCTTTATGATTTTTAAACTTAAGCAACCAAGCAGACGCAGAAGAAAACCAGTGGTTCTCATCTTGCTCACAAAGCAAATAAGCAAAACAGCAAAGCAAGTTCTTTAGCTGCACGCAAAGCAAAGCAAGGTTGAACAAAAAAATTTAAGTATTCCTTATTAGCAGCATTTAAGCAGACTCTTTATCTGACAACTGAAACAAGGCCTTCTACCTAAAAAGCAAATAAGCATAAAGCAAGAAAGCACAAAGCAAGGGAAAGCAATAAGTTCATAAGGAAAGCTGTGTGCTAACAAAGCAAGTTTACCATCTATATCTATGGGCAACAGAGTTCCTAACTTAATTATAATCTCATTTTAGTTATTGAACAAATGAAATAAGGCATTTCATTTAAAAAGCAAGATAGAACCAGAAAAAGCAGTGGTTTTTGAGAAAAGTGTGCTAGCAAAGCAAATTTATCAGCTATATATGAAATACTAAGTTCTTGAATAGAATCTCAGTAAAAAGCAAGTTGTGAGTTTAAAAGGAAAACTCTTTCAAGCTATAACTCTGGTAGATACTCAAACTAGATATCAGGATGTCGGACAACTCGGCTGTGAGCACCGTGCTCAACGTCCTGCTCTGCGGAGCCACCGGCTTTGGGTTCTACAAGATCGGTCCCAGCGACCATCCGTATGCCTTCACCGCCTGCGTGATCGGCTTCTGCCATGGACTCTTCGGGTTGGTGAGCAGCCTGAGCGGCGATGAGAACGCCAAGAAGGTCGCGGACACGACCACCTCGATCATGGAGATCATCCCGCTGCCGCTGGTCAATGTGGATCTGTATCTGGGCGCCGAGAGCAACAACATTGCCCTGGGCCATGGCCTCTTCATCGTGCCGCTGGGCGTCAGCGTGATCCTGAATCTCTTCAAGGGCGAGGGCGGCGGCGGCGATGAGAGCGGAGAGGGAGGTCCCCTGAACACCCTGAAGACGCTCACCGTTCTGGGCAACATCACTTCGCTGCTCTACCTGTCGATCAACGAGAGCAGCTGGAATCTGGCCGGCATGGCCTTCCTGGCCTTCATGGCCCAGTTCGGGGCCAAGTTCTTCGAGGAGCAGGTCAGCGAGGGAAGCGCCGAGCCGGTGACCTACTTGAGTTGGTCCGGCTTCTACGTCCTCACCGCCTTGGCCGTCACGGGCGAGAAGTAGATCGGATGGGATGTGCAGAGATCCCGAGATCCTGAAGTCGCCATCTTTTCTTTTTCGAAACTTTTTAGACCCTCCACCTCTAACCCAATCCATTCGACCTTGGACGAGCAGAGTGATGAATAAATTATTGGGCTAATGTTGCGGCCATTCGTTAATTTTGAACTCTTTTGGCTTCCATATTTGAGAAATATATATACATTTTGGAGTGGCACTTTTATGCGGTTTTTATTTGACTAACAATTTTATTATCACATTAAAAAAAATTGAATCCTCTTTGAAAAGAGAATTATTTAATTTAAAAATAATTTGTTTAAAAAAAATTAGAAAACAACGTTATACATATTTAGTGTCGTGCATAAGTACACTAGAATTGACAAACAATAAAGTTCAAGTGAGTTATCATGATTTTTTGCGAAAAAATAAAAAAAAATAAAATGTCAAGGTTGAAATGCCAATTGACTGGAAATTGGTCCTATGCCAAAAATAAATACTGTTTTGAACAGATAACAAAATTATCAATTAATCCATAACACTTTCCGTGTGATTTTGGAAAAATAAAATTTTCGCCAATTTTTAATTTTTTTGTAAGGGGGTACCCTATGATTTTTTGCGAAAAATTAAAAACAAATAAAATGTCCATAAAATGTTTAAATGCCAATCGATTGGAAATTTAATAACGAGTTCAGAAAGGTGTGACAATCCATGTTTGGATAAATATTTCCGTTGTATCGGCCAAAGAAATGTTTTTTTTTTAATTCGGGATTTTGGTTTGTGATAATATAATTAATTTCTTTTCTTTTGGATTTTTTGCTGCAACTTGGCCAAAAATGGTCTTTTATTGTATTACTTTTCAAATCATTTATATTTTGACTTTAAAAATGTAACGTACGAAATACATATGGTAACTATCTTAATTTATACTCAAGTTTAAACTTCTTGGCGAAAATGTGAAAGTTGTATAGGCCCGTCGAAGGGTTTATTTTGAACCCACTGGCCCACAGAACCTGGAGTATACTGCATGTGGGTATCTACATAATAAACAGAGACCCCTTTTAATTGTCACTAATTTAATTGTTATGGCATTGCATTCCGCTCGAATCGATTCGATTGTGACCGCGGCATTAGGCAACCGAAATCCCATTGGCCACGCCCAGGGCTTGCCGCCCCCCACCCCCTCCAAAAAAAAACACAAGCCTACACCAACCGTTGACAATAAGAACTAATAAATTTTAAGACCTAATGTCAACAAATCGCCAATAAGTAGGGGCACGCACAATCCGAACAGTGAACAGTGAAGCCCGGCTACCAGGGCTACCAGCCTCCCCTTGTCTTAGGGCGGGAGGCAAAAAGCGTGCTCAATGAGCATGACAGCCACAAAACAACAACAACAAGCCAAAAAAAAGCAAAACAAAAAATAAAGAAAATGAAAAGATATAATAAAAATTGTTGTACATTTTTGGGCCGTGTCTTGTGTCTTGTTCATTGTTATTTTTATGACTTAGTGCCAATGGGTTTTCGGCTTTTTTTTGTTTTTGTTTTGGGGTGGGGTTCGACCCGAAGTTACGTGCTAATTTCTGGCCAACTGACGAAATCGAAATCGAAACTGAAAACCGAAAACTTTAAACTGAAAACTCGACCCAAGAACTGGTTGTTACAGAAATATTTGTGTTATCGCTGGTAATTGGCTGGCATTGTCTGTTTTTCTTTCGCTTTTCCCGGCTCCTAAAGTCGTGGCATTGGGCAAGTTTTAGAGATCAGGGACCATCGGGGCTTTGCTATCTGCGAACAATCGATCACATCCGCTTGCAAGAATCAGATGGGTTAAATTAGAGAATATTCCATTTTTAAAATACATTTCAATCCATTAGGTATTTGTTACAATTTATGACAAGTTTACCAATAGGAAATTATAAATTATTACATTTCATTAAATTAAAATCTGTATAGTTCTAAGTTCAATAACTTATTTAGTTTCAAGTAGCTGGAATATTTATTTTGTATTTGCATTATCTACCAAGTCTTGTCGCTCGTATTCGTTGTATCCAAAGCCTTTTTGTATTCAAAGCTGTTGAATATGAATTGAAGTGCCCTGGAATGGAGTGGAGATATGGCCAGTAAGTTGATTGGTTTTTGTGTCCGTATATGTAGATCGATCGATTGGTGGCTGCTCTGGGGGAAATTAGATTTATTACACCAGGCGATGATTAAGGGAATTTGTGGCAAGTGGCAAGTGGCACTCCAGATGAGCCGGTGGCCCCTTCAGCGGCTCCACATGCCGAATAAAGCACTGAGAAAACCTGGAACGCCCAAATATCATTTCAATAATCAAAATTGTAATTATAATTAATTTGGAGAGATAATACTGTCAGAAGTATTTAAATATAACTTTCGGTATAAAATTACAAATATTTTCAATATTTCATATGAAATTTATGCTACAGAATACAGAATTTATAGTGTTAATGATTAAAACAAATACATCCTACATCTAGTATATTTTGAACATAACAACTTACAACTTGTTTTGTTTTTTTTAATTCCCTAATCTTGGGAAAATAAATAAAATATTATATTTAAAATACCATAACAAAATGTTAATGCTTTTTAAAGTATTTAGCACATTTTTGGCCAGTGTACGAGTACTCCTTTGTGGTGTTTCCCACAGCATCGGAGCTTGAGTCTGAACCAAGATCAGAATCAAAATCAGCCTCAGACATCGGCTATATTAATCTCTTGTTATTGTTGTGGTCTAAACAGGCGGCGGAGATGATTAATCGCTTTTTGGCGGCGAAATATTCGAGTGGCGCAGCCATTGGGCCTGTCCATCAGTATCAGTTGTGGGCCTTTTTCTGGTAATATTTATAGCACTGCCCCCCGATCATATCGATGTCCAGACCATTTCGAAATCCCTACCCCTTGTGGCCCTTATCGCACCTGCTGCTGGTACTTTGTACGTATTTGTAAGCATACGTTTGTGTTCGTCGCTTTTCCGTTACAGCTGTCAACGCCCTCTTGGGCCCAAAAGTAATCTATATAGTGAATTTATCAAATTTAGAATGGATGGTTTTACTATAGACAAGTATTCAGTATTTTATTCCAGAATTAGGAAACATATTTAGATTTATAGATGCTTAAATGATTTTACCTTTTCATTGGGGAAACTTAACTATTTCCACTTTTCATTTATAGTTGCCATTCGTTTTCCCTATCAACGTATAGTTTTCCGTCTCAGGCGTTATCACCCATGTTCCCGTAGAAGAATTCACTTTGCAGCCAAGGAATTTCATTTCCCATTTGACAAACTAAGAAGTTTATTTACCTGGGCGTCAACAATTAGCTGCAGATAGTGGCATTGTTTATATTTTATCCACGCTTCCCAGTTATTTAATAATGCACATTGGTTGGGGCAATTAAATATTTTATTTGTGCCATCGATTTGGCCGCCTTTTCGAACTCCGATCGATAGCTTGGTCACTTTAGTTGGGAATTCTTTTATGTAGCTGCACTGAGAACAACATTTGTCTTTTATATTTTATGTATAAGTATAGACATAAATATAATCGTTGAAATCATATTTCGAGCCGAAAACAAAAGTGATATATTTTCCTGGCACTTGTTCGAGTTGTTGGGCAGGTTAACTGGCCACATACCAATTTTCATGTCGTTAGGCCAACGATAACAACTGTTTTCACGCGGAAAAGCATCAAGGTAATGACCGATTTTGGTGATACTTTTGCCATTTTTGCACCGTGTGCACACCGCACTGCACACATACATATTTTATAGGCCGCCCGAGGGGAAAATTGGCCAGGTACGAGGTATTAGCATTAGCATTCATCGGGCATTCAGGTTTCGCATTCGCCGGAGCCGGAGCGAAGAATGCCGGCCTCCCCCGCCCAGCCCCTCGCCAAGGTAACAGGGTCTTGGTATGCGAATGCTGGAACTTTTGGAATTAGAATGTAAAGTGAAAGGAGTTCTACGGGTTAATGCCATGCCAAAAGACAACCCCCCTTCCCCCCACCCCTTGGGTCTCTTCTCTTCTCGCCAGTCTTCTGCTGAGCAGTCTTCTGCTGCTTCTTCGCCATTCTTCGCCGTCTTTCTTTCTTCTGCGGACGCCATGCGACGTTTTAATGAATGAGGAATGACTGCATGAAAATTACCTCTGCACGATACGTCCAAGAAAGCAGATATATGTGGGGTATACCATACCTATATGTTCGGGGCACAGAGATGCAGAAAAGAAATACCCGCAGAGAGGCCCAGACCGAGACCCTTGGGCTGACTGTGCAAATATTACCATTACTACAGCCCATTGCGGTAAAGCTGGCAGGCAAATTAACGCCAGCCGGCTAAAAGTCAGATGGAGCCCGAAATGGGTGGAATTTTTCAAGGGGACACGGATGTGAAATCCGGAAATTTTGTATCCCAAAGGTAACCGATGAAAAGAGCAGTTGCTCCAAATGAAATACAAGTGTAATCTTCTTAATTTATTTCATGTTCTGATTTGGAACAATTTTTATTAGAAATTTCTAACCAGATCCGGATTTTCTACTTTATAAAACCCCTGATAAAAAATTTAAATTATTTAAATCAGCCGAAAATGATTTATTTATATATTAACTAAAACAAATATTTTCACATAATAACAGAATGTGATTGCTAACATCTTAAAGTATACATTAAAATTTTTCCTTTTATACAAATAAATAAATATTTTTACGCTTTTCTGTTTAATTTAAAAGTTTAAGAAAAAATCCATATAAAGGCAAAAACATATGATTAGTTAACGAATTCTAATGCTAAAAATCCCAGAATGTAATAATAGTTCTTACTTAATAGTTGCTACAGGCTGCAAAAAGAACTAAAAGTGTCAAGTAAATTCTAAACAAATATTTCCACACTTTTCGGCTAACAAGAATAAAATAGGCGACTTTAATCCCACACTTTTTCGAGGTAAGCGAATGTAAATGAAAAGGAGCAGCCCGTGGCAATTTGGATTTTGGATGCCTGGCATTATATTGTTTCGTATCTGATCGTATGGGATCGCATAGCTATGAGTTGCGGAAGCAGATTATTAACACCGAAATAGTTTTTCGTGTAGGATTAGTGGGGAATATTTTTAGGCGGACAGCCAGACAGAACCAAACCGAACCGACCCGTCGAGGAGGTGGAAAAGAGTGGGCGGGATTGGATGGATGAGATGCGGAGAGA